CAAGTGGCAGTTACTGGTTATGATGACCTTGTACCTTGGATCTGGATTTGCTGCACCTTTCTTTATAGTAGGACATCAATTGCTTGAGAAATAAGGCTGTAATTCATCCATTTAACAGGTATGAAGAATGTTTCAACCTCTTGAACTCACAGCATACTATTATTTACAAACATAGACACAAAGAAAAAAAGAATAAACAATATGAAGAAAATGAATTAAAGAAAATGAATTCATAGTTTAAAACTTTCCCATAAATAAGATTTCAGACCCAGGTGTCTTCTCCAGTGAACTCTACCAAAGATTAAAGGAAAAAGTAACCCCTATTGCACACAAACTGGCCTGGAAAATCAACAAGGAGGAACACACCAACCTTTTCATTTATAAGACCAGTTATCATGTGATATTAAGACCACAAAAAGACACTATAAAAAAGGAATCCAGACAATTGCCAATTGTGAATACAGCACAGGTTGTTTTTGTTTGTTTGTTTGTTTGATTTGGGATTCTGCTGTGTAGCCCAGGCTGGCCTCAAAATTGCCATTCTCTTGCCTTAGCCTCCCGTGCAGATGGCATTACAGCTGTGCACCACTGCACCAGCCTTCTAGATACAAAAATTCTTAAAACTTTAACAAGTAATAATCTGGTAATATACAAAAAAGGATAACACATTATGACCAAATGGGTTTCCTCTAGAAATGCAAGGTTGGTTCAACACTGGAAGATTAATCACTCTAAGTTGCCTGTTAACAGACTAAAGGAAAATGATGTACTTATTTCAAAAGATGCAGAAAATATGTTGAACAAAATTCCACATCCATACAGGACTCTAGAGAAATCTCTCAGCAAATTAGAAATAGAACAGACCTTCCCTAACCTGAGGAGGGCATCTACAAACAGTTTATCATTAATATCCAACTTAGTGGTGAAAGACTAGCTATTTTCACTAAAAATCAGGAACAAGGCAAGAGATTGTCAATTCCCACAATTTCCATTAGTGTCTTAATAAGTGCACTCAATCGAGATCAAGAAAAAGGCATACTGATTAATAGGAAGATATGTGTCTTTATTTTCAGATGTTATAAATACTTGTGTAGCAAATCCTAAGAAATCTGAAGATATATCTGCTAGAATAAAAAGTGGAGTTAGCATGGTCAAAAGACACAATGTCTATATATAAAAACCAACTGTATTTCCATATACTAGCAATGAATAATTAAAAGTTAAAATAACACAATAAGGGGTGAGTGATAGCTTGAGTGGTACTCTTTGCCTAGCAAGTGTGAGGCCTTGAGTTCAATCCTTAGCACTGAAAAGAAATTAACACAAGTGCATCGAAATATGCCTTCTGCATCTAATGGAGATATTCTAAATCATGGATGTGGTGGCAGTTATATGTTGCTTTGTTCTGACCTTGCTCTCACTCCAAATTCATATGTTGAAGGTTAATTGACAATGTGATAGAATTAAGAGGCAGAGCCATTGGGAGGTGATTAAGTCAATGAGGGGAGGCCCTACTGAATATGATAGTACCCTAATAAAAGAGGTACAAAGGAGTGTTCTGGTCCTTTTTTTTTTCTTCCATCCCTTCTACCATCTGAGCACACAGTGTTTGTTTTCTCCCCTACAGAGGACAAAATGAGGCATCATTGGTGGAAACAGAAAACAGACTCTTACCAAAGAACTTGCTGGTGCCTTGACCTTGGACTCCTAGCTTCCAGAACCAGGATAAACAGATTTCTGTTATTTCTAAATTATTCAGACTCAAGATTGTTTTATTATAGCAGCAGGAACAGACAAAGACCCATGATTATATCCATTTGTTAACTCATAAAACTGTAGAGTTAGTGAATTTTATTGTTATGTAAATTAGAGAGAGAAAGAAAGAAGACAAAAGAGGTTGCTCATTAGAGCATACCTATTTTATGTCAGGATCTAAGACTGAGAACACTGTAAGGAACAAAATCAAGATTTGCCATTGGCCCTAACAATGACATAGGTGGGCAAATAGTGAAAAACACTAAAGAAAACAATGCAGGCTAAGGGGATTGACAGCAGTGGAAGAGAGGAGGTGTGAGTTGTTTTATGCATAATAGTTGTGGACCGTTTTCCTCTAGTGAGAGGACAGTTGAGCAGACAACTACATGAACTGTGTGAGCTATGCAGATGTCTAGAGAAAGAACATTCCAGCAGGAAGAGGAGCAGGTACACGCTTGATAAGATATATACACATACACACATATATATCATGTCATTCTTTTAAATGTATTTTTGAAAAGACAATAAGGACATCGTGGTGATCCTAACCATGCTGCAAGTCACAATCATCCTAAATGCTCTATGCAATGGAAATAACCAGACTGTTCTATCAATTGCTGAGCATTCTAACCATGACCATTCTGAGTCTTTGTCATCTACAGTTTGATATTTCTCTAAAACATTTACAATGAAACTCAATGAAAATGACTCTAGCAAGTACTTATTTCTTTCAAACAAAAAGTTTTCTTTGGTGGTACTGGGGTTTGAATTCAGGATCTACACCTTGAGCCACTCCACCAGGCCTTTTCGGGGATGGGTTTTTTTGAGATAAGCTTTGGGAACTATTTGCCCCGGGCTGGCTTTAATCATGATCCCTCCTGATGTCTGCCTCCTGGGTAGCTAGGATTACAGGCGTGAGGCACTGGGGCCTGGCTTACTGTTTTTAAATATTTGCTCTCATTATTTTTTCAAAATTTCCCTTTAAAACTTTGTAACTGTTGGCTGTTGACATTTGCAGGAGTATAACTTCTAACAATAGCAACCCGAGCAACATTTTTTGAGATGTTAATGACATCAGCTACAGAACAGACAGAATTAGACTTAAGAATGGACTTCAGGTAAGCCCAGTCTAAAAGACACTTCTTCTAAAACTCTGTTGATTAATTTGGCCAAGGGGAATTTATTGGCACTGACTGCCACCTAATCAGTATGTCACTTCCCCTCTGACATGGCATCAGATTAGGTCATCTGGGACTCAGCTCATCCCAGCGATGGGGACCAGCAAAGCCAAACCACAAGGTGGTTAACCAATGGATAGCTTTAGAAAAAAATGTTCTGAGGTACTCTGGGCGGGGGGTGAGGAAACTGCTCAAAATAAGAGGGGAAGTTATCAGAATCCAAATGGAGTCACCTTGTGATAACCCTGCAAAATAATTAAAGCTGACAGGTTATGCAAAACAGTTCTTGTATGTGACTTCCTCTGACACTAAAGCCCTTCCGGGCACCTCTGACACAAGGCAAACTCCTATTTTTGGCCAAATCCAAATTAGAGACAAAAATGATTATTTCTGCCAGGTGTCCTAGCTACATGGGATAGTGAAATTGGGAGAATCTCAGTTGGAGACCAGCTCAGGCAAATAGTTTACCTCCAAAATAACTAGAGTAAGGCGAATTGGAGGCGTGGCTCAAGTGGTAGAGTGCCTGCTTAGCAAGTGCATAAGCCGAGTTCAAACCCCAGTCTCCTCCATACTTATTTATTTAAGTCCATACTTATTTATTTAAAAGAGGTTCATTTGATTGGACATCTTCTTTTACTCACTCTTGTACTCTGCTTTAGAGTGGTGTTTCTAGTTTAAGGCTTAAGCAATAGGTTCTTTTGGCTGATATACTCCAGCTATTACAATTTGTCCCCTTCTCCTGTACTAACTTATTCCCAGCCAGTTTGAAAACTTCAAAGCCAGATTGGTCAACACCTCAATTCCCTCAAGACTGAGAAATGTTCAAGCACAAGTAGGTACTTAGAAACTGCTAAAAAGCACTGACTCCTTACTTCGGCCCATAAATTAACTAAAAGCAGGAGAAAAGCTTGGTATCTCTGCCTCCATTTTGCTCTAAGCCATTCACCTAACAGTCACCTTGGAATCCAGGAGTGACAGGACTGATCCATTACAACTCGGACTGAGGAATCTGCCCCCAAGAAAAGGAACAGTAGAGCCTCAGAGCCTCCACAGGACAGACCACCAGCCAGACAACAAGGACTTGCTTATCCTGACCAGATCGCTCAAGTGATGACAGCGATGACAACTTCAATAAAACCCCTCTCCAAACAAGACTGCCATGATGACCAACCAGGCCACACTGCGACTGGGACTGTTTCACTCTACATACTTCTCATCCTCTGTCCTAGGTCTTTCTCTATTTAAGCCTGAAGCTCACGTCTGTGCCCGCAAGATGGGTTGAAGTGCTTAATTTGCCTCTTCCCCCGGCGTGCCTGTGCTGCGTTAACAAACCTCCTCTCTTTACTTGGTGTGCTGGTGACCTGACGTGTGCAATCCCAGGGCTTCGAACTCTAGCTTCAAGGCTCCCAGTGACGTGCTTCAGATTCACGTCGGGCGGTGGCGGAGCTGTGAGAGGCGGGCATCACAAGGAGACACAGGTGTGGGAAGAAGAGCGAAGTCAGGGTGCCTTCAAGTTCTGGGGCTTGAGTAGCTCCAACAACGGAGTTGCCATCTACTAAGCTGGGGTCAGAAGTTGGTTTGGGAGACACCAATCTGAATACACCAGTGAGGAAGTCATCAGGGAGGTGGGGCCTGGAGACCTAACCCTCGGACCCTACAGAGAAAGGCGCATCGTCTATTTGGGCAGCGCAGAGAGTCCTCTAGCACTACACCTTCTTTCTGATGCTCAGTGCCAACCCTGGCAGTTGTCAGGCAGCTTGCCAATAGCTCAGTCTTCTAACGCAATCATTTTCTTTAATCCCCAATGCCCAAACGAGAAAGACAAAAACAAACCAAGCCCGAAACCATAAGACCCGTCTTGATTCAGTAACTAGCCTAGGAGCAAAAAAAAAAAAAAAAAAAAAAAAAAACCACTTAGAACTGGGCCAGGCCTGATTGGGTGTCGTGCTTGTCAAACGTCCGAAGCAGGTGTGATTGGTCGAGGCAGGCCCGGGGGTGGGGCGAGCTCCGGAGTTAGGGGCCAGCTTCCGGAGTCGGCGCTGGGGCCGCCGGGAACTGGAAAAGATCGGCCAATGGTTGTGGCTCAGCACACCGCGCGGGGGCGGCCGGGAAACCGGAAAGAAGGCCCTGCGGCTGTGGTTCCAGCAGCCTTGCAGGTACCGCCAGCCCTGCGAGAGGAACGCCTTAGGGTTGTGGCTTAGGCCGCGGCGCGGGGCTGCCAGGACACTAAAAGGAGCGTCTACAGGAGGTTGTGCAGGGGCGGCCAAGATACCGGAACGAGGGGCCACTGCTTGTGGTTCGGAAGGGCGGCCGCGGGGGCGACTGGGATAGCGGAAGGAGAGCCTCATGGCTGTGCTTCCGGTGGGAGCGCGGTGGCGGCCGGGAACTCGGAAAAAGGGCCCGATGATGGCTGTGTTTGGGAAGATCGCGCGGGGGCTGCCGGGAACCCGGAAGCCCGCCAGATGACTATGGGTCTCCGCTGTGTGGCAATCCCGGTCTGCGGACGAAGTAAGTTCGATACCGCCTTCCCTCGGATGTCCGGTCGCGCGGTCGGGGCTGCGGTCGCCGGCGCGGCAGTGGTGACACTGCTGTCCGTCGCGATCGCGCTCTGTGAGCCGCCGTTGCTCGCAGGTACCCCGCCGCGGGCTGCTTCTGCTGGCGGGCGGACGGGAGGGAGACGCCGCCGCGCGAGGGGCCGGGCCCGCGGGGAGCCGGGAGCCGGGAGCCTCCTGTAACTTCTCAGGGCCTCGGTGTGCAGGACGATCTGGAAGCGTCGTGGGGACCGGCCGAGTCCCTCTGCGCCCAAGACGGTGCTCTCCATCTCCCACCTGAGCTCAAAGCCTGCAAGTTTTTGGACGACATGGGGCTCGCTCCCTTCCCTCTCCCCAGGTCTGAGTGTGTGACTCCTCGACTGGGGCCTCCCGAGTAAGCCCCGAGACCTGGAGCCCTAGCCAGACACTCCTGAGTCCTCAGCCCCACTGTTGAGCCTTAAACTTCGGCGGGTCCCTGGACTCCGAGGTGCCTTTTCAAATAGGACAGGCCACGTAGGGAACACTTGAGACTTGCACTGAACGACTGCATCCTGATTGTTGGGAGCCCCATCTCTCTTCATAAGGCCTTTTCTTCTCGATTGCCCTACGCAGTAATTTAGCATTCATACAGCTGAATATTGTAGTGTCTCATTTCTCACAAAGTAGAGAGAGAGAGAGAGAGAGCTGTTCTCTACCTTTGTGCAAATAAGAAGAGGCTCTGAAGAAGTAAGTGACTTTAGCCACCATTGCCCAGCGGTAAGTGGCTGAAATGATAACATGCACCATTTGCTTTAGGAGTTATTCGGAAGGTCTGACCACGTACTGTGGTGAGAGAGTAACTGGGGGATTTTGACTTTCTGCATGCACTGAGGGCTCAGCAATCTACAACTCAATGACAACAGCAAAGGGGCTTCTGACCACAATTTTATGTAGAGATTTACTTTTCTCTGTAGCTGTTTCTTTAATTCAGACACTCCATGATTAGTTAGCTTTTTCTCTCCCTTATTTGTGGCTTCATTACTAGATTGACTTACTGAACTCTAGTCCCAATGGCGTTACATCTTTAAAGCCATCTATGTGTTAGTTAATTTAAGGATTGCTGGCACATGCTCTAACTTATAATTCACGTTAGCTTAAAACACTTTTGGCACAAAGCAGCACTGATAGTCTGCCTCTGCCACACTTAATAAAAAGCCAACAAAACCCAAACAGATTTAACTTGTTTTTCCAGACTCGGAATTGTCATGGAGACAGAGCTACTTATGTAAGTGCCATTCACACTGTAAGTAGCCTCTTGTCAAGGCCTTTTTATGCTTCAGAACTTTGGTGTTTATATTTAAATACTTAAGTGAATAAATCTAAGAGGTGTGTGGCAGTAAGCCAGCTCTGAAACTTGATCCATGATGAGGCCTTGGGAAATTGAGTTGACCTTTCTTTGGCCTTTTGCTAACAGAAGCTGTTTCCCTTGTCCATGTAAAATAATGGCTATGCTTTAAAGGGAATAAGAAGATTATTCAGAGCCAAATATGTCTGACCATGGCCCAGGGAACACAGATTCAAGTTAACCTGAATGACATGTTGGACCATGGAAGAGGTGACAAGAACTATTATAGTCACAGAATAAAAGAAAGTCGTAAATCAATACATTTTCCAATCACATTGGTGGGAGCAGCAGGTAGGTGAGCGACAGCAAAGGGGGAAAACCTGTAGGTTTCAGATGTCATCTTGTAGCATTCTGAACTTTAGGGTTGGTAGAGACTAAGAGGTCTGTCAAGCTTAGTGATGTGATATGAGAGTTTGCCTAAGAGTCACAAGAGTGTTGGTCTAGATACAAAATTGAAGGCAAATTGCTATTAATGGGCCTAAGATAGCCCAAGATAATTTTGGTTCTTGTCTTGCAACATTTCGTCTCTCCATAATCGCAGTGTTCTAGTTCCCAGAGGAAGCAGCCATAGGATCTTTCACACGGATGTGGCTCCTACAGAAGACAGCAGCTCACAGTCTCACGTGAGCGGGGCAGAAAGCGGGCTGATTTTAGAATTTGCTTTCATTCATACAATTCTAGTTAAAAAGTGAAAATGCTGTTCTTTTTTTTTTTCTTTTTTTATTATATTCATATGTGCATACAATGTTTGGCTCATTTCTCCCCCCTTCCCCCGCCCCCTCCTTTACCTCCCCCTTTTTTCCTTACCCCCCCAACCCCTCACTACCAGGCAGAAACTATTTTGCCCTTATCTCTAATTTTGTTGAAGAGAGACTATAAGCAATAATAGGAAGGACCAAGGGTTTTTGCTAGTTCAGATAAGGATAGCTATACATGGAGTTGACTCATATTGATTTCCTGTGCGTGGGTGTTACCTTCTAGGTTAATTCTTCTTGATGTAACCTTTTCTCTAGTTCCTGGTCCCCTTCTCCTATTGGCCTCAGTTGCTTTAAAGTATCTGCTTTAGTTTCATCAACGAAAACAACCCACAACTTATAAACTCCATTAAACGATTGCTCTTAGGAAGCATTTTTGCTGGATTTATTATCTCAAATAACATATTACCCCTATCCTCACCAGACCACTATACCTAAAACTCATAGCCTTAGGAGTCACTATCCTAGAATTCACTATCGCAATAGAACTCAACAACATAACTACAACCTAAAATTAAACCCAAACTCCAACACCAAATCATTTTCCACCATACTTGGATTCTTCCCAACCATTATACATCGCACCTCACCCAAAAACACACTAACACTTAGCCAAAAAGCAGCATCAACCCTCTTAGACATAATCTGAATAGAAGGGACCACACCCAAATTAATAGCCAACATGCAGATTAAAGCCTCTATCACTGTATCTAACCAAAAAGGAATAATCAAATTATACTTCCTATCCCTACTATCTATAGCCTTGGCATTAACAATTATCATCTAATTACCACGAGTAATCTCAAGAACAATAAAAATACTTACAAAAAAGATCAACCAGCCAATACTATTAATCAACTTCCATAATTATAAACAGCCGCAACACCCATGACATCCTTACTAATATATTCCACCCCCTCACCACTATAAATAACCCAATCACTTGTATTATAAATACCCCCCAATACATCCACTTCATCATTCTTCACTAATAAAACCAAAAAAACCAACTCTACAAACAAACCTAACATTAAAGCACCCCAAATAACCACATTCTAAGTTAATTCTTCTTGAACTAACCTTTTCTCTAGTTCCTGGTCCCCTTCTCCTATTGGCCTCAGTTGCTTTAAAGTATATGCTTTAGTTTCTCTGCGTAGAGGGCAACAAATGCTATCTCGTTTTTTGGGTGTTTTACCTATCCTCATACCTTCCTTGTGTGTTCTCGCTTTATCATGTGATCAAAGTCCAATCCCCTTGTTGTGTTTGCCCTTGATCTAATGTCCGCATATGAAGGAGAACATACGATTTTTGGTCTTTGGGGCCAGGCTAACCTCACTCAGAATGATGTTCTCCAATTCCATCCATTTACCAGTGAATGATAACATTTCGTTCTTCTTCATGGCTGCATAGAATTCCATTGTGTATAGATACCACATTTTCTTAATCCATTCGTCAGTGCTGGGGCATCTTGGCTGTTTCCATAACTTGGCTATTGTGAATAGTGCTGCAATAAACATGGGTGTGCAGGTGCCTCTGGAGTAACCTGTGTCACAGTCTTTTGGGTATATCCCCAAGAGTGGTATTGCTGGATCATATGGTAGATCAATGTTTAGATTTTTGAGAAGCCTCCAAATTTTTTTCCAGAGTGGTTGTACTAGTTTACATTCCCACCAGCAGTGTAAGAGGGTTCCTTTTTCCCCCGCATCCTCGCCAACACCTGTTGTTAGTGGTGTTGCTAATGATGGCTATTCTAACAGGGGTGAGGTGGAATCTTAGCGTGGTTTTAATTTGCATTTCCTTTATTGCTAGAGATGGTGAGCATTTTTTCATGTGTTTTTTGGCCATTTGAATTTCTTCTTTTGAGTTCACTTGCCCATTTCTTTATTGGTTCACTAATTTTGGGAGAATTTAGTTTTTTGAGTTCCCTGTATATTCTGGTTATCAGTCCTTTGTCTGATGTGTAGCTGGCAAATATTTTCTCCCACTCTGTGGGTGTTCTCTTCAGTTTAGAGACCATTTCTTTTGTTGAGCAGAAGCTTTTTAGCTGGCAAATATTTGAAAATGCTGTTCTTGACAGTGGTTTTTGTTTGTTTTTGCTTTTCCTTCCCAAATGGTTTTAGAGAGCAGTTGAAAAAGAGTGGATTTTCTTTTTTTTTTATTCATTTATTCACATGTGAATGTATACACATTGTTTGGGTCATTTCTCCCTCCTATCCCCTCGATTTTCTTTTGGCTAGTGGGGTGAGTGATTTGGTTAAAGAAAAATTTACTTTGCCTTCACATGGCAGCATTTTGGTAAAATGGTTTAAGTGAATGCAAAGCAGAAAATCACAACTAGGAGCTGAAAGAGTAGAGAAATATTTATGACCTGCAGCAAGTAAGGGATTACTGAAATTATTTCCAAAGCAGTGACCTCCTTGAAGGAAAGAAGTGAAGGAAGTGAGGGGATTTTATTTGTAGAGGAAATAAATTTTATTTGTAGAGCTGGTGAAACCTGTATTTTAGACCCCAGACCCAAACTCCTGGGATTCCATCTGTCAGGTCTGGCCACTTGCCCCTATATGCCAAATGAAGAGACATGGTGAAGGGCAAAGAAAGGAGGTTCATTACATGGTACAGGTAGCCAAGGGAAGACAGCACTTCAGTTGATCTGTAGCCATCATCAGAGCACAGACATGAGCCATAGGTTTAAGTAGGCAGCTGGGGCAGGAGGCAGAAAGCATTCATAATTACTATCAGTCCTGTCACATGGGTGTCCCAGCAGATCATTATCTCAGGCCTTGTTTTGGGAGGGGTTCTGGAGAAGTTGTTACTGTTGTCATCACTGGTCAGCATAAACAAGTCATTGTTGCATGGGGGTGGTCTGTCCTGTGGGTCTCTGCTGTTCTTTAGCTGCAGTTTCTGTCCTATACCATAAAGATATATTGATAACTCCTATCCTTCCAGTTCCAAGGTAATTTGTAGAGCGACTACAAAAAGAATGGCTTAGAGTAAAGACAAATGCAAAATGGAGACAGGATAAAGGAAATGCAAATTAAAGTGACATTGAGGTTTCATGTCACTCCAGTCAGAATGACTGGGTTATTGAAATGCTAGTTTGGAAGCAGAACTTTTTGAAACTTGAATTTCTGACATCTGTAATACTAAAGAAACAAGGTAGATCTCATGGATGTTGTTGATACGGCTAAGTGCTTAGTTTAAAGTGATGGGTTATGAAGACAGAAAACCTTGTAAGGAAGTCAGTCAGACGGCCCTGGAGTGACTGGTTAGATTCTGTCTTTCTAATTCCTTCACTTTAAAAGTATCTGTACTCCTTGTTCTGGAGGTGCACACATCCTCTGATGTATTAATCAGCTGTGTCGTTAGATGCTAGGTATGGTGAGGTGTGAAGCAAGTGCATGTCAGGCATTCTTGTTACTGCAAGGGCTGTCCATCGCCTTCAGTGATGCTGTCAATAGGTCTTGTCACAGCAGCACCAGTCCTTGCAGTGTGTCAGAGGCAATGCCACTCATCCATGTGTGATGAAGACATGGCAGTCTTGGGGTGTAGGTGGGCACATGGGGAGTGGACTGAAGGGAGGTGAGTGAGAGCAGTTTGGTGCCTCTGCAGCCTGGCCCACATCCAGGTGAGAGGTGGGACAGTAGTGGTGACACAGGGAGCAGAAGGTGGCTCATGATGACAGACTTTAGAGCTGAGAGATCAGCATGTGACATTAGCTGTCCCCATGGTCCTGGATCACATCTTTGTCCTGTGTTGGTCTGGAAGTAGGTAAAGGTGGTGGGTTAACGGTAATTAACAGTATCTTTCCATTGTGGGCACATCAGCTAAGCAGGTTGCCCCTACTCCAAGAAAATGCCTGGCTGTTTGGTGAGTAGAAAGTAAAACTGGAAGAGTAAAAGACAAAGCCGTTTGAGCCATAAGGAGTGAGCACGCTCCTGGCTGTCAGCACAACTTGTGAAACATTTGTTTTCCTCAGCTGCTGGGATAATCAGAAGGAGTGCTTTGTTTGAGAAAATACTGTCCCTGTTTACAGAGATTCCTTAATTCTAGAGTCAGTAATGCTTTATTCTAAATAGAACGTATGCATTGGGCTCATGGAGAAGAGCAGCATTTCTCTAACGGGCGAGCTGTTTTAAACACTAAGGCAGAACACACAATTGGAGGAAGTGTGTCAAGAAGGCCAGTTCATAGTACAACCACTCTGTAAAAAAATTTGGAGGCTACTTAAAAAGCTGAACATTGATCTACCATTTGATCCAGCAATACCACTCTTGGGGATATACCCAAAAGACTGTGACACAGGTTACTCCAGAGGCACCCGCACACCCATGTTTATTGCGGCACTATTCACAATAGCCAAGTTATGGAAACAGCCAAGATGCCCCACCACTGACGAATGGATTAAGAAAATGTATCTATACACAATGGAATTCTATGCAGCCATGAAGAAGAACGAAATGTTATCATTCGCTGGTAAATGGATGGAATTGGAGAACATCATTCTGAGTGAGCTTAGCCTGGCCCAAAAGACCAAAAATCATATGTTCTTCCTCATATGTGGACATTAGATCAAGGGCAAACACAACAAGGGGATTGGACTTTGAGCACATGATAAAAGCGAGAGCACACAAAGGAGGGGTGAGGATAGGTAAGACACCTAAAAAACTAGCTAGCATTTGTTGCCCTTAATGCAGAGAAACTAAAGCAGATACCTTAAAGCAACTGAGGCCAATAGGAAAAGGGGAACAGGTACTAGAGAAAAGGTGAGATCAAAAAGAATTAACCTAGAAGGTAACACCCACGCACAGGAAATCAATGTGAGTCAATGCCCTGTATAGCTATCCTTATCTCAACCAGCAAAAACCCTTGTTCCTTCCTATTATTGCATATACTCTCTCTACAACAAAATTAGAAATAAGGGCAAAATAGTTTCTGCTGGGTATTGAGGGGGTGGGGGAGGAGAGGGAGGGGGCGGAGTGGGTGGTAAGGGAGGGGGTGGGGGCAGGGGGGAGAAATGACCCAAGCCTTGTATGCACATAGGAATAATAAAATTAAAAAAAAAAAAAGAATGCCAGTTCAAATGTAGCTGAAGATGGCAAAGTTATTCCAAAATGCTACTTTGAACCCCGCCTGAGACGTGCTGCATCTGAATGCCATTTCTGGGCTACTTAGTTAGTACCCAGTTGAGCATTGGGGATAATGTGAGGGCAGTCAGACTTTCGAATGTCACAGTAGAAGGAAATCAGTGGATTGAGATTTCCAGTTGTGCAGAGGAAAGACCTAAGAAAGGGAAAATGAAGTAATGTTTTTTTTAAGTGATTAACTGGTTTTTTAATTGATGAAATTTTCTGTAAGATTAAGTAGTCCTCTAAAATGTCTGATATATTTCAAAAATAAACTTGGACTATACAGCATGTTGGTTTTGTGATTTTTGAACATGTACCACAAAAATAAAATCGTGAAACCATTGTGTAAAACCCATAGTATTCACAGATAAGTCACCCTTGGAAAGTGCTGTGGCTAGTGTAGATTTTAAGTCTCTTGCTTCTGTATACGAATAGGTTTTTATTTGCCTTTCTGATGACTTCATTTTCTTGTTTTTCAGTTTTACAAAGAACATTTTCACTACATACAGCACACTTGAGAAAGGACATGGAGAACTTCTTTCAGCTGGTAAAAAATATTGTGCCTGCTCTAACTGAGAAGAAACACAAAGGACAAGATGGACGGATTGGCATAGTTGGGGGATGTCAAGAGTGAGTGTCAGCTGTTTACAAATGCAGCCCTGCATGTCTGCCTATGTCTGTCTTCTGTCTGTCCATCTGTCCTTCCATCAGTCCATCCACCTGCCCATCCATCCACCCATTCTTCCACCTATCCATGCATTTACAATAATCATGTCCAAATGTAGTTTTCAGTGACCAACTTCCTGATTAAACTAAGGACCCCAATTCACTGCTGTGTGTTGGTGTTCGGTTTTGTTTTTTTTTGTGGTGGCAGGTGTGGCTGTTTTTCCCCATTTTATACTTTTTGTGTTTACCAGTCTTCATACAATAAGCTTGTCTTACTTTCATAATCAAGATAAAACTCCTCAGCAAGCACTTGGGTTACTTTGTGATTTGAAGGTGTTCCTGGAAGGCTGTGAAGTCTAACACATGCTGGCTTTTGTTTTAATCTCTGATTTTTATACTTTGCTGCTGTGTTGGCAATAAGGATTGTCAGCTCTCCTGTGGATAGTGATTCCTACTGCCTTCAGCAGGAATGTCTGCTAAAATAGCCATCCTGGCTACTGTTTCTGCTTCTGCTTACTTCCTGTCTGTACTTACCAGACTTCTTTGTCTATCCTGCATTTTGACGTGTTTATCATGTAACTAGGGATATTCGTTATCAACATATAGCTAGATTTTGTTCCTTAATCACTATGATTGGGACTGCTCTTTTTAAGAAGGAAAATAACCTGTTCTTGTTTAATCTCTTTGACTAAACTGTAACCTTTTTTGTTTTTTTGGCAGTACTAAAGTTTGAATTCAGGAGTTCACACTTGCTAGGAAGCTGCTCTACCACTTGAGCCATTCTGCCAGTCCTTTTTTACATTGAGTACTTTCAAGCTGCAGTCTCATGAACTATTTGCCTGGCCTGGCTTGGAATCTCACTCCTCCTGCTCTCTGCTCCTGCGTAGCTGGGATTACAGGTGTAGCGCTCAGCTTGATTATTACTTATTTTACCTTGTGTTTCCGTTTTTTCCTTTCCTTGATTTGGTAGGTTTTTCCTTTGATTAATTTGGAAGTTCTGCTAGTTACACTTTCAAATTGAGGTAGCAGTCACCCTTTAGCTAGCACAGTGCCTCAGTTCGTGAAGCACAGTGGCCTGAGGGAGCATTGAGGGCTTCTCCCCAGTCTTGGCTCTCAAACATAGCTCCTGGTGCCCTTGCTACTGTCTGTGGTTCTCAGCTGCACTCAACCAGTACATGTAACTGCACTGCAAAGTAGATTGCCGTTCATTCTCCTGCCTGCCCTTGGGTAGCAATGATTTGACACCTCCGGCATCTTCTGGCCGTAGTGCTACAGCACTGCAGACGCTCGACATGCTGTGGAGGCATCTGGCTGGCTGTGGGATCCCCACGCAGCCATCCTGGCCCCAGCTTTGGTAATCTGAATGGGATCTTATTATCTTCTGGCTTTGATGCTGTACCTTAAAAGCCTGCTGGGCATCCAACTTGCTTCTACTTCTAGTGTCCTCGTCTTGCTTGGATGTTTGTAATATTTTCTTTAGAATTCTGCAGTTTCTTCTCAGGCCAGTACTGGGGCTTGAATTCAGGACCTCACATTTGTTAGGCAGACACTCTACCACATGAGCCACTCTGCTGTCCGTGTGGTAGGTTATTTTTGAGACAAGGTTTTGAGAACTATTTGCCAGGGCTGATTTCGAGCCATGAGCCTCCTGATCTCTGCCTCCCAAGTCAAAGGTGTGAACTACCAGTGCCCACAATTTCTGCAGAATGTCTGGGTGTGATTTTTGGTTTTGGTTTCTTTCATTAATCTGGATCTCACTGCCCTGGATGAGCGCTTTCCATACTGAGCCGTTGCCCTTGCAGTGAAGTGCAGCAGCCTCTTTCCCACCCTGAGTGGTACTCAACGCGGGCTCCCTGTGTGCTCCCTGTGGGCGTAGCAGCAGCCTTTGCTGGTCGGGCCAGCAGCTTGCCCATGCTTAGTGTGCCTCATGGCTGAGGCTGTTCATGGGACTTGAGAGCGGTTGTGTTGCCTGTTTTGTCCCTTCTTTTGAGATTTTGACAATCTGGTGACACTGCTTTGGAAAAGGTTATGTGTAGAGAGCGACCTGCCCTTTGTTCTGTGTGCTCTGCAGTTGTCCCTGGATGCTTCACTGTGGGAAGTGAACACAGATTGCTAAGGCCAGGGTTCCTCCTTCTATGCGTGAGGTGACACTAAGCACAGTTTGTCATGGGCCCTCAGCAGTGAGAACATAGATGATAGTAAGATGGAGCTGTAAAGTGGAACACAGCCACTCATGTGTCCCCAGTGACACCGTCTAGTCTATGTTCACTGTTGCTCCTAGAGAACAAGGTCGTCCTGCTCTGGGGCCCTGGTCCCTCCTAACTGCCTTGAGCTGGTGGTTGCCTTGGCAGAAGCTTGGCACTGGTTCTACCTCATCATACCTGATACAGAGACTGCAGTCACCCACACCAGCACTGGGAAACGGTGCTAATGCGTTGTGTGCAAGTCTGGCTTTTCTAGTTCTTGCTCGTGTGGAATATTACTGGCCTCTGCTGGGTGCTGGGTTTGTGATAGTCCTTGGAATTGTATCACTTATTGATAATTCACATCTGTCTGCTGTTTATGGATAACCTATTATTTAATGATAAAGTGTACTTGCCTCATTCTCAGAAGTTTTGACTCCAGTATCGTTTTAGGTACACAGGAGCCCCATATTTTGCAGCAATGTCAGCTCTCAAAGCGGTAAGTTTACCCAAAATTTCTTTATGGACATTTCTCTGGGGAAGAGCGGATTGTTTACATATGAGTAAACCCGTTGTTTTCTGATAGAATCCAAATACCATCTTAGGGTAATCATGAGTAATGGAAACACCTTTAATTTTATCCTGACCTCTTGTGCAGTAACAAAGTTCCTGTTTTTGTTTTTTTGTTTGTTTATTTTTAAACTGAGGTTTTGTTCCCATTATTCTTCACCAAAATATTTCTGGAATATGAAACATAAGCCAGCAATGCCTTTGAACTGGTGGTTTCCCACCAATTTGACCCAGTCCCATTAGCTCAATGGAGAGGTTAACCTGACACGTCCAGTGTTGTGGCTCTGATCTTGCCCCCAAGATGGCAGTAGAAGTCTGACTTTGTTCCCAGCATTTTCGTATGTCACTATTTTCCAAAGCCACCTGGCTGTGGTCTGACTGGTTTGTGTTTGTGTTGTTGTGGCCTGAGTGCTGAGGGACCATGGTGGTCCAACCTGTGTGTCATGGGGTGAGCAGCTGATGGCTGCTTGTGATCCCACTGAGTGCATCCTACTCTAAGTCAACCTCTTGTCTCATTTCTTAGGGTGCAGACTTGTCCTACGTGTTCTGTGCTAGGGAGGCCGCACCTGTGATCAAGTCCTACAGCCCAGAGCTGATCGTGCACCCTGTCCTGTAAGTCAGTTCTGGTTTCTCCTCATCTGCAGCAGCTGTCCTCAGCTCCTAAGTGTTTTTACACTAATGCTGAGAGCAGCTTACTCCAGGTGCTGCCTGGAGGAGGAAGTCGGGCATGGTGGTACAGACATGTAACCCCAGCTGGAGGCAGAGGTGGGAAGATCACAAATTTGAGGCCAGCATGGGCAACTTAGCAAGCCCGTCTCAAAATGAAACTTTAAAAAGGGGTTGGGATGTAGTTCAGTGGTAGAGCCCTGGGTTCTAAGAAAAAAGGAAAAAGAAAGCCATACTGAGCTCATTGTTCTTTGTCAGAGTAAGACAGACCTAGACAGTGAGACTCAGGAGAAACCTGGGAAACTGGGTGGTGGCCAGTGCTGTGGCTGTTTCCATGGTGCTTGCCCAGCAGCAGCGGCCGGAGATTCTGAAGTCCAAGAAAGGTCTAGGCTTATGTGGAAAGCAAGGGACTGGTGTCCCCTCACTTGTTCAGTACGTGCTCCGTGGGGCTCCCCTAAGCAGCCCTGAGGTACAGAGCTTCTGTGCTGATGGAATACCTCTGTGCTGTCCAGGATGGTACTACTGATCACTGCTGCGCACTATGGGGCTTAGAAGTGCAGGCTTCACTTCTGCTGTTTCAGTTACACTTACATGTGCAGTCTCCACTGCACTGGCAGTACTGCTGTGGAGACTGACAAATAAATGAAAGTCATCACAATGTGGATGGTGAGAGAACTGATCTGGAGCAAGGGACGCCATGGGAGTTGGGGCAATGGCACAGAGTGTGACGTTCCAGTGAAGCCCATGGACACTGGGATGGGAGGAGCTGCCACACAGGAGCCCCAGTTGCAGGCTGCAGCTGAGTCAGGGAGCACTGGAACCCTACAGGTTGTGGGTTGCTGGTGAGGCTAAGCTGGGGAGTAGTGTGACTGTTTCTGTTCCAAGAGGCTCATCTGCTGCTGGGGAAGCTCTTGGACTGGGTGGAGGCTGCCATAAGGATCCTGCTGGTAGCTGAGATGTAAGTGGTGTGGTTAGTAGGCCAGAAGGGACCAGACACTGGGTATTTGTGGGAAGTGCAGCCCCCAGGACTGGCCAGCAGATTGGTGGAAAGGCATGTGCCCCAAAGCCACTAAGAATGTTGGTCTGAGTGAGTAGTCATTTAACATGATGGGGAAACATCAAGAGTTGGGTTTGGAGTGCTTTGGTTCCTGTTAGAAATCCTAGGGGAGGTGGCTAGAAGCCACTGGGTGGAAGTGGGGCAGGCAGGAAAGGCTTTGGTCTGACAGTCGATCACATGTGGGCCATGTTGAAACTGGAAGATGAGAATGAAGGGAAGGCATGATACAGGCTGAGGGGCTTGGCCAGCAGTAGAGGGAGCAGGAGGGCATCCAGAGTCAAGTGAAGCGACTGTTTCAAGATGGTTCTAGAAAAGTCCTTGTCACTTTTCAAGAGTTGGGCTAAGGGTGATACTGTATATAAGTAGTAGTTTCATTAGGAACCTCAGTAGGCGGCTTGTTGAGGAACAAAGGGGACAAGGACCCAGAAGAGCGTCCAGAGTCTCCGAGCTGGGGTGCCACACAGAAGGTGTGGACTCATGTCAGCAAGCCCTATCTATCCTGAGGACGTAAGCAGCACAGGCAGGATCTGGACACATGGTGCACCCCTTGGGGCCAGTCTGTCAGTATATCAAGTGTGCTGACACTGATGCAGGACAGAACACATGGGCCAACAATAGAGAGCCGGGATAATTTTGAAATTAGCTATAAGGTCTTCCTGACTTGATCTATTTGCTGTTTGTTGAGACACGGTCTTGATAAGCAGCCCAAGCTGACCTGCAGCTTCTGAGTGCTGGGGTTATAGGACTGCACCACCACACCCAGTTCTCTCCCTTGCTCTAAATGCTGGAAGCTGGGCATCTAAATTGGGGTGTCAAATGAAGCAGGCAACGGAGAAGACTAAGATGTGAACGCCAAATGCAGTGTGGGGTCTGGATTGGGCCTAAAAGAGGGAGAGGACCTGGTGGGGAGGGGAGGCCGGCGAGCTCTGACCAGTCTGTGGGTAACTGGTATTGGGCCAATGCTAACTGTTTATTGTGATCTCCTGGAACATGGACGTGAAGGCTGTAGGCTCCCGGGGAGGGTGGGAGAAGGATGCATCCTGTACTGGTTTTGCTAGTTTTCTGTAAAGGTAAATTACATTTTCAAAATAAAGTAGTTCAGGGCTAGGAATGTAACTGAGGAGTAGAGTGCTTGCCTGGCATGTCCACGGTGCTGGGCTCTACCCCAAGCACTGAAAAAAAAAGGTTTAAAAGTACACAGATAAGTGAAAGTTTTAAGAAAACCATTCTGTCTTTTTATTTAGGGACAGCCCGAATGCTGTTCAGGAGGTGAAGAAGTGGCTCCCAAGATTGCACGCCCTTGTTGTTGGGCCCGGTCTAGGTAGAGATGACCTGCTTCTCAAGAACGTCAAGGTGAGTGTTGTCATCGGCCACACCTCTCACCACACTGTTGCTCAGTCTTGCGTGGGCCTCCTTGGCATGGCAGAGATGGCTAAAATGAGATGTGAGGGCAGAGGGGAAGCAAGGCCGACCACGGTGATGAGTGCTTCAGAACCAAGTCCAGACCACACAGGTCTCCTTCGCTCCTAGCACAAGCAGTCTCACACTGAGTAACGGGAGGGGCCGGTATGTGGTCTGTGTGTGATGAGGAGTGCACAGAACTGAGACGTGGACAGAAGGTTACCATTGACTCGTCTCCCTCCAGTGTGACTCTGCTTGCTAGGGGTCCTGGTGGTCACTTTGCCTCTGGGACTGTTGTTCCTGCTCTGTGAAGGGATAATTCCCGCTTTGGGGTTATGGGAGCCACATTTCCTAAAGGGCTGCACATGGTGGCCATTTAGCCTGATGGGATGGCACACATGAGATCACTGTCAGATGGCAGAGAGTGGGGTGTTTCAGAGCCTTGGTTATTGTTTTTTATTTTTGATGTAAATTATTCATTTAGGCAAAAACCCAAAAGGGCTTCTGCTGGGTCTCACTCTGTTAGTCTGGCTGCGTAGCTGGATAACCCTCTGTCCTTTATTGAGGTCCTTTCTGGGGCCAGAGAACGTTGGGCCTCTTGCTGAAGAACTTTGGCCTCCTGTCTCTCCCTGCTTCTCACAACCCAGCTGTGTGCTCTCATGACATCATGGCTGTCAGGTGACAGGGACTGCCAGTCCACACATGTGCATACATGCACTTACCAGTTTTTCATTGATCTTTTTTGCCATTATGTAGAACTTCAAGTTCATTTTATGCCTTTCTTAATTTAAAAAGATGAAAATGTTTTATTTGAAAGCACTGAAATATAAATATGATATGGGCTCGGGAAATCCAAAGCCTGGGATGGCATGCCAGCGCTGTACACTGCGCCTTTGGGTGCCCATCATTCCCCTGGCAAGCATGTCCCCTCTGCCTGGGGGTGGGACTCCTCTTCAAGATGTGTAGACCTGGAGGGAGCAGTGAGTGACTGCACTGAAAGCCCTTCCATGTGCCCAGCCATACTGTGTTCTCTAACACGGACACTGTCCTCACCACGAGCACCGTGGCACTCTGTGTAGTGCTTAATCGGCCACAGGGCTTGATGATGGTGGAGATCTCATCTCCCAGTCCCTGGGGCTGAGCACTGAGCAGGAGGGCAAGGCAGGAAGGAGCAGGCTAGGGAGGAGGACCCTCTCTGAGGGGCAGTTGGCTGCTAGCTTTGCCTTTTCAATGAGATGGACCAGCAGCCTGTCAGAGGGAGAGATGGTGTTTGGGGCACTTAGCAGCTGGCTTAGAAAAGAACGCAGTGAAAAGGCAGGTGTGCCTCTACTTTACCAGAACTCCCAAGAACATGACCTAAGGACATCGCCCATGGTGGATCGTCCATTCCGGAGATGTTGAAATTTCACTTTCCTCAAACGCATGAATGGTCAGAATTGTCACTGATGAAACACAGTAGCCATGCCAGGTGACAGGTTGGGGTTGGGGACTAGAATTGAGCTGTGTCTTCTGACTTTTAAAATTGACAGATTGTTTCTGATTGTTCTTTCAAGAGGGCGAATAGACGTGCACAGGTGTATCCTGAGCTGGCCTGGCCTGTCAGGGAACTAGAGAATTCTTGCAGATGGTTCCTGTGTGTTTCCCACTGCTTTGGGTCTGAAAGTTTTTTCTTTAATGAAAATTCTGGAAATAAAAGGAACCAACTGGAGAATTAGAAGATGGTGTTAGGAAAGCAGCTGACCAAAGTCTGTGGGGCACTGGGTGAGCATCACTGAGACCAAATGCTGAGGGGATGCCCCACTCAAACAAGACACCGTGACCAGAGACACTCTGGAAGGGGTGTTGAGTCCTTTTAGAAAGGGCTGAGAGCAGTAGGTGACTGAGGCCACAGTCGTGTACCCAGGAAAGTGAGTAATCTGAAAGGCAGGTGGTGCATGGGAAAGCAGCTCCAGCCACTAGGCAGATCAGAGGCTTCCAGGGTTCTTGGGGTTTGAAGCCACAAAAGTTTTTCGTGTCCCCAGAGGTGAGTCCCTCACTGGGGATGCCATCTGTAGTCAGGTCTGTGCACATGGCTCCCTGGCTCTGTGCGGTGCTCCACACACTGGCATGCGGGCTGTGTCGGGTGCTGTATGTGTGGGCTCAGCCTCTGCCTGCAGTCACCAAGGCCCTTCCGCATGGTCTGTCTTTGGAGGTAGAGCCTGTGATAGTGTTCTGCCAGGCCAGAGCCAGTATTTGGTGCCAGGTTCTTTTCTCTCAGTACCAACAGGAAAGTTGGTATCCTTGAAAAGAAACAGAAAAAAGCCTATGCAGGGGACATGTAAAGGCGGGCGGGCCTTGCTGCCCTCCAGCCTACTCTGCAGGCTTCCCTTTTGTCTCACGTTCTTCGTAGGCATAAAATAGCAGTGGCCACAAGAGCTGCACGTCTTACATTCAGCCGCAGAGCCGTGACACTTCCTTTGGCGGGCTTTGAGTATGTTCTCGTCTTTAGTTGTACTAATGGCTGTGTGAGGTGTCCACTCTGGCGGGGCTTCTTCCCTTGTGTTTTCTGTCAGGGTCTGAGGGTGATCCATGCTAGCCTTTAACTTTTGATTCTCCTGCCTGAGCGTCTCGACTGCCATGATTTATCATGACGTTTTTAACTATTTTATTTAGGTTGCTTTCCTATTTGTGATGTCTTGAGCGTATGTGACTGTTGGGAATTTCTCTGGATGAAGTCCTGGAAGTTACTGTGGAATCTATGGAATCAGAGCGTACACACGGTTCCACGCTCCAGGTTCCAGGCTTGCAGGATTTGCTCTCCCAGTGACAGGGCTGGGCTCTGCTCTTGCGTGCTGTGGTTCAGCTCTCTAGGATACCCAAGAGTTAAATTATGCTGGGGCAAGCATTTCCAGTGTTTGTCTACTTTGGTCTGCTGTTCTGTGTAAACACTAGAAAAAACTGGAAGAAACAGAGGTGTCAAGTTGTCACACACAAACTACACACAAAACAAGGACTGAGACTGTAAAGGATTTACTTATATTTTGTTTTTTAACATTCTCTTCTGTTCTTTCCTTTTCCTTTGTTCTTTTCCCCTTGGTGGTACTGGGGCTAGTGTTTTCTGTTATTGCTTGTGAAGTAGAGATGACTTTTTAACATCCAATTGGTATATATAACTTGGTTTATGTTAATAAGGGACATATTATGGTTATATATGTGTTGTCTATATCTTTTTTCAACAGAAAACATTTGAAACTTTAAAAGTATGGATTCAAGTATAATCCTATCAGAAATGGTGAACTCATTATTTTAAAACACCTAAATAAAGTCTTGTGAAGAATACATAATAATGAGCCAGGCACAGTGGCTCATGCCTGTAATCCTAGTTACTGGGGAGGCTGAGATCTGGAGGATCGAGGTTCAAGGCCAGCCTGGGCAAATAGTTCATGAGATGCTATCCCAAAATAACCACAGCAAAGTGAGCTGGAGGAGTGGCTCAAGCGGTAGAGCACCTGCATCACAAGTGCAAGGCCCTGAGTTCAAACTTCAGTCCCACCAAAGATAAAAACAAAAAATAAACCACAGGAAGTGTGGCTCCAGCAGTAGAGCACCTGCTTTGCACATGTGAAGCCCTGAGTTCAAAACCCAGTACCACCAGAAAAAAAAAAAGGCGCAGAAAAAAAACATAAGTGATGATTTGGGGAATTGCCAAGAATGGATTTCTGGTCTCTGAATCCTGAGGAGTCACAGTGCTGGGAACTTGGGAACACTGGGTGCCTAGCTGTTCCCAGGGTCCTCAGGGCCCTGCCTTCCTAACGGGCTGTTCATCGGTCTTTGTCTTCTCTGTTAACTCTATTCCCTACTGTATTACTTTGTGTTCTTCTGTTCACGACCTGATGTTGCATTTCATTAAACACTGCTTGGTTTCTTTGATTGCTGGAGAGATGATGGGCTTGCTGGTCAGCATGTTTTCTCTTCCGGCAGGGTATTTTGGAAGCATCTAAGGCCAGAGACATCCCTATTGTCATCGACGCGGTGAGTGTGACCTTTCCACTCCCCACATGGAAAGCACAGGGCCTCTAGGCCAGTCCAGTGAGGGTCCATCCTTGTTCTGCGTAGGATGGCCTGTGGCTGATTGCACAGGAGCCAGCCCTCATCCAGGGTTACCAGAAGGCCATTCTCACTCCCAACCACATGGAGTTCAGCAGGCTCTGGGAAGCTGTGGTGAGTCGGTGGCTTCATGGGACACGGGACGCAAGCCCCCCTTGAGATGAGGGTGAGGGCGAGCTCTGCAAGGACTGGCTTCTCCTGGGCTCTGATGCACATCATTTTCACACGTGAGCGTGTGGTCATGAGGCCTCTGGAGGCTGGTATGCATCCTTGATGAACCTGAGTCAGCCAGTCCGGTGCAGTACACTCTGGGCAGGTCACTGACTGTCCTGCAGTGGTAAAGTGACGGTGATAACATCTGCTGACAAGGTGTGCATAAGTGTGGGGATGGAGTGCAGTGACATGGAAAGCCAGGGCCCTGCACAGCAAGCATCACTATTACTCAAGTCCATTTTGTTTCTGCAAACCTGGTCTGACTGGGTAGAGGACGGGCACTTGCGGACAGCAGAGCTGGGCCTCCGCCCGTGTGCTTGGCCTTTCACAGGTGCCGGTGATTCCTGGAGACACAAACGTCTGAGATTCGATGGGCAGGGAGCAAAGTGCTGTCTGTCCTGCTGTGTGCGTGTTGGGCCCCTTTTGCAAGTCCTCAAAGATCTAGTTGTCTGTGCTTGTCTTCTGTAGGTCAGCAGTCCTGTGGACAGCAGTGATGACCATGCATCTGTACTGAGGCTCAGTCAGGCTCTGGGGAACGTGACAGTGGTCCAGAAAGGAGAGCATGACCTGATTTCTGACGGCCAGCAGGGTGAGTGGGCGTCCCCTTGCACAGCGGTCAGCAGGTGTCAGGTCGGTCAGCACTGCCACACTGGGCATGAGCCCTGGAAGAACTGTGGTTCATTTACATGTTTAGCTCATCAGCCACAGCTCCTCAAAGTCCTTGTGTTGTTTTATTTCTTGATAGTTTTCCACAGGGGCACAACAAGGGTGAGACAGATGTCTCACACATGGTACTTCAGCTGATCTTCTGTAAAACAATTTATAGGAAGCAGCTATGGGCCAGAGATCTCTAGGACCCCAAGCCAAGGTCCTCAACTCGCCACCTCCCTCTCCCCAGTCTTTTCCTGCATTTTGTCCTATTTTATAAAACTGGAAAGAGAAGGAAACTTGGAGCGGACACTGTAATGTCAGTCGCTTTCTCCCAGGGGGGGGCCTGATGGTTGTTCGGCAAGGGCACAGTGGAGGCAGGGACCAGGTGTGGCCAGTGTCCCAAGTAAGAGTCATGGCCAGGGAGCGTGGCACCCTTAGCTCTTCCAGAGTAGAAACTCTCCCTTGTTCATTCAGGGCGGATCAGTGTAACTTCGCCCAATACCAGGAATTGATGACAGGTGTACAATTGCTGACCAGGGACCTGAATTCAGAGTAAGAGAACACAAAGGTGCAAGTGGACATGCATGCATTCACACATAGCTGTGGGCAGGACATGCAGAATGTTCTCAGAGGGTGTCCAAACCTTTGAGATGAGGCTCTGTTACAAGAAGGCTCTCTTGATTTTAACATTCAGAGAATATATGATCAGGTTTTCAAAACACTTTCTAAAGATATAGAAAATTCCTGTAGTCCAGGCGAAAGTAAACTTATCCGTGTGGGGTGCCACCAAGTGGGTGGCATGTTGGGTGTTATTTGATGTGCACTTGGAGCTGGGGTAGGCAGGTCGGGCTCTCAAGGCTTGGGCTCTGTTTGCTGGGGCTGAGAAGCACCCTTTAGCACCCTGTGTTGTAACTGCTCTTCTTAGAGCTTGCCCTCCGTGGTCTGTGAGGTGTGGTGTCTCTGCGAGGCATCCAATCTCTTGAGTGCCTCTGTTTTGGCCCCTAGAGGTGGAGGCTGCCTCAAAGCCTCCTGAGAACAAGCAGGGAGGAACCACATTGGGTATGGAGCATGTAGCAAGCTGCACTGTGAGGAGCCAGGTGTGGAGGAGCGGGGTGCTGGGCCCACATTCACATCTGTCTTCTTTTCTGTGCTCTGTGCAGTGGTCCGGTGCAGCCAGGAAGGCAGCAGCCGCAGGTGTGGTGGGCAAGGAGACCTCTTGTCGGGCTCCCTGGGCCTCATGGCACACTGGGCCCTCCTTGCTGGACTTGAGAAAACAAATGGGTATGGCCACCTTTTCATTGTCAGCCTTGAAGTTGCTCGGCTTTGCCTGCTGTTGTAGTAGCTCACATACAGGGCAGAGGTTAACAACCCGCCTCCAGAAGCTTCCACACAGCCACACTGGGTGCAGCCTGTCAGTTGCTGCTGCTGAGGCGCAGGCACCAGCAGGTTTCACAGTGCCAGCTGCCGTACTGAGCAGTTGCCGTGAAGACACCATTGTAGGGCATGAGGGCAGCACAGGTGGGAAGACTGGCCTGCTTGGACACTTGTGCTCACAGTGTGCCGTTCTCTTCTTTTTGTGTTTTGTTTTGGTGGTACAAGGGCTTTGTGCTTTCTAGGCAGGCTCTCTACCACTCGAGCCACTCCCCTGGCCCTTTTTGCTTTTAGTTATTTTTCAGGTAGGGTCTCAGTCCTTCTACCTCTGCTGCCTCATAAGTAGCTGGGATGATTACACGTGTGACCTACCACACCCAGCTTGTTCTTTGAGATAGCATCTTGCTGACTTTTTGCCCAGGCTGGCCTCGAACCACAATTCTCCCATGTCCACCTTCCATGTAGCTGGGGTTGTAGGTGTGAGCTACTATGCCTGGCCAGCTTCTGTTTTGTGAACCTATTCTAGAGACCATTATGGCCTCATGTGTTGGGTGTTCTGGAAGCACCACCTGCCACCTGGTACAACATTGCTGGGATGGTCATTTCCCCACATACCTACAAGTGAACGCCTGCAACCAGTGGCTCAAACTAGGGGTGCAGAATGGATTCTGTGGGGCTCAGGTGCAGAGTGCGTCTCCAGCCTCTGCCCTGCCTAGGGTGTGGTAAGAGCAACAGGCGTCTGTACATAGGCCTCAGCGTTCATGGAGTCCTGAGAAAATGGTGAGTGCTAAGCGTTTCTCCGGCTGTCACCAGGGGAGGCCACTGCCCCCCTGCTGTGCCCTTACGTGACTCCAAAAGATGGATTTTTAAACCTGTGTGCGTGTGTGTTGCTGAGATGGAACGCGGTGCCTCTTGCTCACGGCACAGCAAGGTACGGCTCTACCACTGAGCACACTGCTCCCCCGAGCTGATGGCTGTTTTCTGTGTGCCTTTCAGCAGGGATCCTGTGTCAGTGCTCACGCTGCTTCTGGCCGTAATGAAGCTGCCTCCTCCCAGAGGCCTGGCAACTTAGTGGTATCAGTTTGGGGACATAAGGTAGAAACGGGTGAAAATCAGCTCACCGTCAGTGAGGCCATCTGAGTTCCATGTACGGGTGCTGGTGCCAGTGGCCTGCAGGCTTTGACTTGTCTCTTGCCTTCCAGGACCAGCCCACTCCTGGTGGCCGCCTGGGGTGCGTGCTCGCTCACAAGGCAGTGCAACCACCAGGCCTTTCAGAAGTATGGCCGCTCCACCACCACCACTGACATGATTGCTGAGATCGGAGCCGCATTCAGCAAGCTCTTCGAAACCTAAGCCTGAGCCAGCAGAGACCAAAGGAAAGCACACGTGTGAGAGCACACGCTGAGCCTCAGGCCCAGCAGCACAGGCTGCTTCCGAGGGTCTTAGCCCTACCCTAACAGACTGATGTAGAGAACTGAAGATTGAGACAGCAAATTTTGTGTAAACTCAAATATAGTTGGAGATGTTACAACACTAAGAAAGTCTTCCTGCGCTTTTCTTAGCTTCTCAGCAGCTGAGGAGGGAGAACGAAGAGTCACACAATGAGAAATCCTCTCACAGCCCAGCTGCATTTCCTGGCTCGCTCCAAGACCAGGGGGTGGTCTGGCGTCTGTTTCTCTAGCAAGGTTCCTGTTCCTAGCTGTTTCTCTCAAAGGATCCAGTCAGTTTTCCGATGTCTAATGAATACAATTTGTTGTTTACACAAGGTCCTCCAAAGAACCTCATTTGATTCTAGGTTGGCTGTGGGTTAATTTAGTGAAGTATTTCAGAATAGTCAGTGAGCCACACACCTCAGTCTTCTGGAGCCCTGTGGGAAACACGGAGACTTGGGTGCCACTGACACTTGGAGGACAACGGGGGTGCTGCTGGGCTCATCACTCCTTGTTTCCGTGCCTGCACACACGGAAGTCCCATGGTGTCAACAGCTCCAGCAAAGCAGCGGGGACGGGGAGGGGTGCCACCCATGGTCCAGTGCAGCAGTCAGCACTGTCCTGGAAGAAGCAGAGCAGACGCTTGCTGGGGTTGGTATGGTGGCACGAAGGAGGCCCTGGGGAAAGGCAAAATGTTGTCGTCACGTCTTCAGTTATGTGCGTAGTCAAGAAACTGGCAGCTCTTGGGCTGGGGTGTGGCTCTCAGCAGAGCACCTGCCTAACAAGTGTGAAGCCCCAAGTTCCTGGTACTGCCAGAAAAAAAATAGCAATTCTTGATTTTAAGTAGACATGCTTTATTGTTGTGTTGACCTCGGTTGGCACGTTTTGTTTCATGGATGCAGAGCCACTGACATTTGTCTGTTCTCCAGTACCGTTTCTCAGAGGGTCTGTTGCCTCCGCAGGTAATGGTGTGTGCTGGAGTTGACTCCTCCTCTGCAAGGGCAAAGCCTGCCTGGCTACAGGAACCAGGAAGGCTTTCTGCCTTGGATGACACCCTGTGATTCAGACACTGTTCCAGATGGTTCTTTCTTTAAAACTAGTCAACTGTCAGGATTTTCATTTTAAAAATTGCTGTTATTTCACACCTAACTTTAGAAACTTCACGATCTATGCGAACTGTTCTGTAAGAGCTGTGTGTGCCGTGGACATTTTTCCTCTGGGGCATTACATCTAAAGCCTGGTAACTTAATCACAGACCTAGCCAGGCATGGTGATGCATGCCTGTAATCCCAGCACTTGGAAGGCTGAGGCAGGAAGATCAACAGTTGTAGCCAGCCTGGGCTACACAGCAAGACCCTGTCTAAAACATAGATCTGGGGTGTGGCTGTGTTGTCACACACTTCCCTGGTGTACACAAGGCCCTGGGGTTAGTCACCAACACTGAGAAAAAAAAATTAAAACATAGATCTGGTTTATTTAAATGAAGAGTTCTGTATTTTTTCTGCAATAGCTAAAGCCCAGCTTTCAGCTTTCCTGAGTGAAGATGTCAGGTAACAGGGAGCCAAGAACACATGAGCCCATCTGCCCGTTTCTCACCAGCACCCCCATGTTGCTGCAGTGAAGTCTTCTGAAGAATAAGCTTGAAACAGACTTTTTGTTTTTTTGAAATAGACTTCTTTCCAAGGGAATGAAACTCAGCAGTCACAAGAACTGGTCTTGTATTTTTGTTACTAAACTTTTACTCTGTGTAACACAGAATTCCTTCATTAGAAGAGATGGGTACATCTGAGCAGTCAGGGCCCTGTTATTTAATTAAGCTAATCACACCCTACTATGCACTCAGTAACTCTAGCCACAGATGGTGAGGTGAAGTGGCGGGCTGTGGGAAAGCCAGTCCTCCCTGGTAGTTTGGCTGTTTGGAAAGGCGTCCTCTGGGCATCTTCCCTTTACCTTAATTTACCAGGTAGGCAGCCTGTGTCCTCACCTGTGGAGTGCAACATCAGTGCCTCCAGGCGTGAAGATTGAATGACCACAGTAAGCCAGGCCACACTGTCCATAACTGCTCCCAGCCATTCACTGCTACACTCATGGGATTAAGAGAGGCCACATGACAGGAAGGGACAGTAGAAGGCTGGCACAGGGTCATCTGCCAGCTCTGGGTCATGCCATCTCCTGCTTGTGCCTCTGACAACTGGCACTTGACCAAATGCAAAGGTGAGAACAAAAGGGCCAGGCTAGGAAGGCCACCCTGGGTTTGTTGTGCCCTCCTGCTACCTTCTGTCCTCCCACTCACACTGCTCAGCCCTCGCCCTGCAGCACTGACGCCATCCTAATTACAGAAGTGAGTCCTGGCTTTGCCCTGGTGTGTGCAGGTGATGTTTCTGTGGTGAACAGGTTACTTGCACAACCAGAAAAACATCCACATTCAGCACTGCCAGTGCTAGTGGTGTTTCTCTCGAGGCTTCCAGCCTCTTGGTGTCCTCAGAGTGCGCGGTTGCTGCATGGCAAGCGAGGCCGGGGTCCTGCTCTTAGGCTCCTCCTACTCTATGTGGTATTTCTGCACCAAGTTCCGCTGTTCTCATCACACCAAGAATTCCCTTGGAGCGGCTGACGTGATTTTACGAAACTTAACGTTGAGTCTGTGGCCACTGGTACTATCAACTTAATTTCCCAGGCATAGTTCACTGTGGGATGGACGGACAGCCACAATTGGAAACTTTAGTGTAAAGTTTTCATCTCAAGAAAGCACAGAAGCCGTGGAGTGTTACGTGTGGGCCCGTGGCAGGCTCTGTCCTCAGCTCCCTGGTTTCTGCCGTTTTGTCCTGGGGTCCAGCAGTTCCCATGTGGAAGTCACACCACCTCTGTCCTGGAGAAAGAAAGGTCAAAGTCCTGACTGCCTTGGTGTCACGACACAGCTGGATTCTGAGGAGAGGGACATGAAGGTCCCCGACAGAAGGCCAGTGTGGCTGGGGAGGAGATGGTCTGAGCAGAACCTGGTCCTCACACCCGTATGTGCTGAGCTTGGTGCTACCTGCCATTGGGGTGGGTTTGTTCCTAGGGAAGCCGGGACGTCTGGCCTCTATCCGCTCTGTGTGTGTGATGTCTGATGTACCCTCTCCTGTGGTGACACTCACCTTAATGCTGATGCCATGAGCAGCAAGGTCACGGCGCAGTGCATCGCACGCCTCCAGCAGGGGCCGCCTCTCCTGGAGCTGCTGCTGCCGGGCCTCCCTGGTGGCCTCAGGTGTGGTCAGTGCATATTGCCGGACCTTCAGCCGGAAGCGCACCAGCTCGTCCACCACGCTGCGCAGTGCAGCAGAGCTGCCACCCCCTGAAACACACTGAGCCAACGATGCCCCTGCACAGGCCTGCACGGCGAGTCGGCATCCCTGCCATCTTTCCCTGTTCCCTAGAGCCACCCTTTCTGGGGACCTCATGAGATGAGTGAAGCTGGACCTTGTCAGGTGTGGGTAAGTCACGCTCCTCCACGGCGTGTCTGCTGTGAAGGCCAAGCTGGTGATACCCACTCGGGTTAGAGGAAGATCCGAACGGCTCTCCCTGTGCCCCAGACCTGGGCCCACTCAGACCTCAGAGCTCTGGGAGGGTGTGACAGGTCTCGACCACTCTTCTATCATCTAAGGAGAGCCTAAAGGTCTAAGCAGGAAGTGCTAATGAAGACAAACTTTTTCACAGTAACCGAACATCGAAGACAGCGTAGGCACCGACAGTTCACCTTGTGTGCGTGTGCGAACTGCATGTTCTGACCTGCAGACTGACCAGCTGGGCACATGAATCTGTCAGGCCAGAAGGTCCTGGGAGGGGCGCAAAGGCCTCCGCACAGACAGGCTGGGCTACAGGGAGAGTGGGGTTCCACTCCACCTCAATGGGGGTGCTGCACGGCTGAATCCAGACCTTTCAATGTGAACTTGAGAACAGCGTATGCTTTCTGAAAATGGTTTTGAGGCTGGGAGCTGGTGGCTCATGCCTGTAATCCTAGCTACTCAGGAGGCAGAGATCAGGAGGATTGCAGTTTGAAGCCAGCCTGGGCAAATAGTTTGAGATCCTATCTCGAAAAAAAACCCATCACAAAAGGCTGGTGGAGTGGCTCAAGATGAAGGCCCCGAGTTCAAACCCCAGTGCCACCAAAAAAATTAAAATGAATCAATGAAATGGTTCTGAGCACCTCTTCTTACCCGACCAGTCATAATGCCAGTAGGTGTAGCACAGTGAGGTGGGTGAGGAGGAAAGAGAGGGACCTGTGTGGGACCTAGAGGTGGCTGCAGAAGGGCAGTCAGGAAGGAAAAAACCCATCACAAAGGCTGGTGGAGTGGCTCAAGATGAAGGCCCCGATTCAAACCCCAGTGCCAAAAAATTAAAGATGAATGAATGAAATGGTTCTGAGCACCTCTTCTTACCCGACCAGTCATAATGCCAGTAGGTGTAGCACAGTGAGGTGGGTGAGGAGGAAAGAGAGGGACCTGTGTGGGACCTAGAGGTGGCTGCAGAAGGGCAGTCAGGAAGGGTAACAGGCCAAACCTGGGCGCCCAGAGCCCCAGCAGTGAGGGCACGCACACAGGGAGACAGCTGCTTCCGGACGGAGCAGCCGAGTGGGCCAGTGGAGGCTGCGGGGATCAGGCTTCTGCTTGGGTCAGAAGAGAGAGAAGGGTGGGCCCTGTGGGCTGGGGCTGAGGTGTCAGGGATGACGATAGCTGTGTGTGGTAACAGATGTGTCAATGTGTGCAACACACACACACACACACACACACCACACACGCACACACACCCCCGCCCCCAATCTCTGCACCGTGAGGACTGCACTGCCCACTCCCAGGACCTGATCTGCGCATCTGAACGCCTTTCAGCACCAAAAACGCACTCCTGTGCCAGGAATTCCGCCAAGACCTCCAGGGAATGATGGGTCATACTGGGGGACATGGCCAGTTTCAGAGGTGCCACCAGCCACATGACCATAAATGATAGGGATAGATTTAATCACTGGATAAAGAAGGAAATCCAGTCCACACTGGTAAAAATAAATGAGCAAAATGAAAAGTGGATGGGACCAGGCTGGTTTCACAGGGCTGAGGTACTCGGCACTTCCGAGAGAGGGGGTCACGATGGACCCTGGCAGCCTCACCCTAACTGTGTGGTCCAGGTGAGCACTGCCAGGGAGGGGCAGATGGAACTGACTGGATACTGTAGGGAGGCGGGGCTAACACCATAGAGACCCAGGCAGGGCCTTGCACATGGAACTGGCCCGTCAGGGTCAGGAAGGCCAGGGACTGAGGAATGCCCTAGAACAGCGGGGTCCTTTGCTGTGGAAGATGACACTGGGGTCTGAGACCAGAGATGCCGACTATAGGAAACACATCGTGGTCTTGCACTCAGGCTAGTGGCCACTCTCAAATGACTCAGGAAAGAATGCCCTCTTACTAAACGAGTAACTTTTCTGTTCTTGGGAGTCTCCAACAAGCGAGAGCAGAACAGGTGGCTGACAGCTCTGCTCCTGAGTGAGCCAATGGCGAATGTGAGCTAATGAGACAGTAGCTCTGAGTACTATTTTTTGAGGAAGCATTTTTAGACACGTTAATAAGTGAATATGGCGCTACAATTACCCTTATAATGACCATTTTTGAAGAAAAAAGGCTACAGTACCAACATAATTCCAGAACTAAGTATTTAGAAGAGGACGTACCTGTCGATTTGCCAATGAAATCCCCACAGTCTCAAAAAACTGCTCAATGTAGGAGACAATGGCACCAAATACCGTAGGGCTCCTTGGGCCACCTGGTTCCTGCAAGACACGAGCCACTGAGCTCTCAGCAGCTGAGGTCAGCATGCAAGGGACATGACGTCAGAGCACTGAGATGTCAGTGGTCATTAGCTTCTGTGGGCTGAAGACATGAGCTCGCTCCGGCGCAGCCAGCCTCACTGGCAAAGCAAAACTTCTCTGTGTCTCAGTTTACCCATCTGCCACACAGTGGTGGCAGTACCTTGCACAGCAGGCTCTTGTGGATTCAGCACGGCCATGGGGTACAATGCATCTGTGGGGCGTGGTAAGTGGAGGGTGAAGGGAACTGTGTGGATTTCTGACCGGTAGGCATCAGTGGTCAGGTGCAGAAACCCTGTGTGAGGCAAACCTCGTTCCAGGTGCTCCTGGGATGGCAGAGACTGGAACAGAAAACTACACAGGCCAAGCCTTTGCATGGCCCCTGACCTCCTCCTCAGTTGCTCTCCACACATCCCCCAAAAAACCCTGTCACCTTAGAGGCGGCCAGGTAGGCAGAACTTGAGATGAAGGCTGGAAGCCAGGGAAGGCTGGCCGATGGGTCCTGTGCTAGGAAACGCCCGCAAACGGCCACCCTGCAGACAGCTTGCCCTACTGGCTGCTTTCTGGGTGACAGCATATTCCTGCTCCAGTAGTGACTGAAAAGCTTCCCACTCAGTGACCAGACGAAGAGGCACTCAGACCGGGGTGCCCTGCACAGGTACCACCCTGGTGGCCCCGCTGCCCAGAGCCCTACCTGCCAGTGACTGACACAAGGTCCTAACTGGGAATCTGTGCTCTAGAATCCAGACTGAACATGGCCAGGTGGAGGGTCCACCAGATGACAGGAAGGGCTGCACCACAACCCATGCGTCACCACAGGGGAAAAGGCAAAAGTGCGGCCTCAGAGTCTGCATGGCCACCTGAGTTCCTCTGCTCATGGAAGACAAAGGGGCTGTCCTGAGGGATCCCCTGGGGCAAGCACCTGCTGTGACCAGCCAGGATGTGGTGGGGACCCTCCAAAGCCTGCACAGGACACATGCTGCTGAACTTGGACCTGTCCAGCACCCCAGAGGCCCTTGTGATCAGGCTCAGCAACAGTGGGGTGCAGGTAGCACGATCTGAGCACTACGAAGGGGTTGTGCATATAATGAATGGTGAAGCTGTATCTCTGAGGATCAGCACACTTAAAACCATCCCAAGAGCTGGTCCCTCAGGGAGCGTGAGGCCATGAGCTGTGACCAGCAGCAGGCCAAGAACAAGAAGCAATCCACCTGCTGTATGTGTGCACCTATTTACTCCTAGAGGCTGGCCCCCAAATGTCATCATCAGTGTGAACTCCTGCCAGCCTTTGCTGAAGGATGCAGGAGCAGGCGGAGTCAGCTCACCCCAACCTGTCACCCACTCGGGACCAAGGGGATCTTACGCCCCTCGTTACCTTTGTGACTGCCCTGAGCTGTCTGTTCCCGTGGTGCACGAGGTCCAGGATGGCATCGACTGCCCTGGGTGTGTCAAAGTCATCGGCCAATGCAGCTTTCACAGCCCCCTTGGTGCTGGTGAGCCTAGGGAAAAATAAAGAGAGCCACGTAGGCTAACGAGGCACACGAGGAACCCACCAGCAGTCCCCCACTGCACCTGTCTGGCCTGGCACCAGCCCTTCAGAAGCACAAACAGACTTTAACTTGGGGACCCTTCCTAGGTCCCCAAGATTCTTAACAGTCTCATGTCACATCAGCTCCAAGTTACCACGTTAGCCAATCGAAAATTCTAGAGCAGAGGGATGGTGTCCACTCGTGTCTGGGCACACAGCATCCACCGGGTGTTTCCAAAGTGGCTCTGATATTCAATGGTGACAAGGGAAGATGTGTTACTTTTTCCTCAGACAGCGGCCAGCAAATGAGGGCTCAGGAGAGCTGGTGGGGGACAGTGCCATGGAGGCCCTCCCCAGGAGCCAGCAGGTGCAGGCTGGGGGGCCCGGGGTCTCAGCCCTCACATGGCACTGCCCGTCTCATGTGAGAACCATGAAGAGTCAGAGGAGCCATGTGGAGAAGTCCTAGCCCTGGATGAGCACAGCCTGGGCAGGTTCTGAAGCAGGAGGGCAGCGGAGGTGCCCACACACTGGCTCCACACTGGCTGGCACCACAGGTCTGCAGAGGCACCAGGCCCGCCTCAGGTGCTGCTGGTGGCAGGTATGACCAGCTCTGCTCCCACACAGCGCAGCTGGGTACAGGGGCCTGGAGCAGGACCTCTGTCCCCTCTGACCCAGGGCCTTGGAGGACTTCGCCATCATCTGCACATCTGGCTGGCCTCAGACCCTGCCCCACACGTCCAGAAGCCATGGCTGCCCGGTCCCTGCTCTAGAGCCCATGAACAAGTACTGTCCTCACTTCTATCCCCTTCCACAATCTGTTTCTTTCTTTGGAGTCAGAGTTCCCTCAGGGAGCCAATGTCCTCACACATGGCCAGGGCACTGCTCTGGTACAGGTCTCTGATGACCCTTTTCTTGCCTTTCTCCTCCTTACACAACCATGTCTTCCCAGTGTCTACCTCCCTCTCCCACATCCACCTGACACGGGCACTGTCCTGCCCGGCTGGTCCCTGGCACCTGCCTCCCTCTCTGGCCCCAGCTGATGCTGGACCTTCACTTGCTGCTGTGCTCTACTCCTTTCGCGTCCCCTTGTGGGAATCCCCAAGGCTGGGCGGGGTCCTGGGTCCACTGTGAGCAGCAGTGATTTCCACTTCGGGGCCAGTGTGTGAACTGCTGAGCCTCGTAGCACCATCAAGGGGAAAATGGTGGCTGCCCACTGGCCTGACCCAAGTGGCCATGCAGAGGCCAGCTGCTGCCCTGGAGCCCGTGCTGGAATGACAGGGCATCATGGTCTCCTTGGGATGTCCTTCCCAGAGACCGTGAGTCCAGGGAATTCCTCCTGGAATGCCCCCAGGAAGGGCACGACCCAGTTAACACTGCCACCCCAGCATACAACAGGACAGCGACTGACCATCTGATCCCTCCCTGCATTCCCCCAAGTTTCCAGGGACAGCTCTGCAACCGCCAATCCTCAGCCCCTGCCTTTCTGCTGGGACGCGCTGCCTGGTTTCCCCCCACCGACTCTGGCGTCCCTCTGATGTAATTAGTAAGACGCAACACAGGTCAGCACCAGGACTGCGTGAGGACAGTCGCCTGAGGAGAGGAGCCCTCCTCCCACGCGTGGCTCCACAGGGCAGGGCAGGGCCTCCTCCCATGCCAAGCCTGCCCGGCATGTCCTATTGAGCACGCGAGTGCAGGTTCCTCCCTCAGGGACAGCAGGGCGCATTTACTGGGCCAGTGAGCTGGATGCCCTTGACTTGCTTGTCAGATCTGGTGATTTAGTTTTAGGCACCAACATCCATGTCCCCCACCTCACTGTGACATGTCCACTTCATTAATGGTCTGATTTGTCCACTTACCTGCACAGGTCTTCCTTAATCTGTGAAGTCACAGTGGTGGGGATTTCCATGTCACACACGAATGAACACCACACCACTTTGCAGGGCCTGTGCATTAATTATGGTCTTCACAGGCCCCACAAAGTGGAGCCCAGCAGGACTGTGGCCTGAGGCCACAAAGCCAGCAAGGGAGGACCACAGCAGCCCTCTAGGAAATGCACTGTTCCCAGGATGTCTCTTTCCTGGAAACTGGCCCCATGTGCGGCACCCAGAAGGCCACTTGCTGGTGACAGGGGGACCCTGGCTGCACGGCTTACCTCTCCCACAGCACATCCTCCCTGATGGGGCCACAGGCCAGCTGGCCCTTCATGTAGGCACGTGCATCCTCCACAAAAGAGGTCAGCCCCAGCAGGAGGTGCTTGGCTTCCATCATGGAGCTGTCGCTGTAGTCAATGGCTGTGGAGAAGAGACGGCCACTGAGAAGGGACCTGGGACAGCACCTGTGAGGGACACTGCGGCCACAGGGCTGCTCCCACCCAGAAGCACAGGTGGCTGCCAAAGCCTCTCTGGCACTTTCTGGCTGAGGGGGTTGTTTTCAGTGCCAGGGGATGGATGGACGGACAGACAGTCCAGTGAGAAGGCAGCTGGGGCTCACCACAGGCTGCACCTGCCTCTCTCCCTGTTGGGTGTCAGGCCCCGGGAGGCAGCACCGCTCAGCTCACCTGACCGGTAGCTGCTGCGCATGCAGAAGAGCCGGAAGACATCGGGGGAGAACATCTGCAGAAAGTCCTAGAAAGGGGCAAGAGCAGAGTCTGTGAGGTCGCAGTGACAACTACCATTACACAAGGCTATCTGCACACAGGAAATTAGGAGTTTTGTGAAAGTTCGTTTTGTCTTCGGACCCATAACCTCTTCCTCCCCTGCCCGTTTCTCTCGGGGATTTCCTATCAGGTTCACACCTGTCGGGGAGAGAGAGGGGAGGGAGCCCATTTGCCAGGCTCCAGACAAGACCTGTTCTGTGGTTGCCTCCAGCATGTATGTCTGAGACTTGGATGTGAGAAAGGGACTCAGCCACTGCCAGGTGACCAAGGATCAGGACAGTGTTGTGCATGGGAAGGAGACATGGTCCGGAGACCTCCACCAAGGTTAACAGTCAGAACGAGCAGCTGGCCAGGCTCGGGGCTGGACTGAGGGGTGAAGTCCCTGTTCATGTGACAGCACTATTCTTTGAAGCACTGAGGTTCAAGTACACACCAAGTTTGTTTTTTGAAGACTAAGCCATCCTGCCTCTGATCCCTGCCAGCACCTTTCTACGGATTTTTCATAAAATGTCTGTAGCCAGTAAAATATTAGGAGGGTGACACGGGAAAGCTTAGCAGAGATAAGCAGAGAGTGTCAAAACAGCAGTGTGCGCATGAGTCCCCAGGAGTGCCTTTAAAGGAGGCACTGGGGAAGAGCTGGGCCCCAGGAAAGAAAGCGTGTGCTCCCATTTCACCCTGCCAGCCGCTCTCCAGGCCACTCAGCCAAAGGACTTCTCAGCCATTCCCTGCCTCTGTGCTTTGCAAGTTCTTGGGGCTCCTGTGGGAGTGAGTACTGCTAGTCACATTCTTGTCCCCAATTTGCCTGACCCCTCCATTGCTGGCTGAGGTGGCAATGTGAGCACAGGGCTGCCACAATCCTGCTGTCCACACCCCTTGCTGGGGCTCGGACCAGTCACCCCGCCCTTAGCAGGGGACACTTCCCAGAGCTACTGATCTGCCACTGGACAAGACAGGGCCCAAGGAGATGCAGGGCTGCCAGCGGGGCTGAGTTGGAGAAAGGCTCCATCCATTAGATGAGGTTCCAAAACCTTAGCGCTGCTCAGCAATTCTCCCAGAGCAAAACTAAAGCGCGCCTTGGAGCAGGAGGGGTGGGGTCCCCTCCCCAGAAGTGGAGAAGGGCCCTTCCAGAGCACCTCCTGAGAGGGGCAGCCTCCCCCATCCTCCCAGGAAGAAGGACGTCTCCATGCAGCTCAGTCCTCTCCAAGACAGGGTCCTGGTCTGCCCTCAGTGGTTGGGAACTTGCCTGTTCCTCCTCCCCTTGCTTGGTGTCTGAGGTAGAGGCGGTCCATCTCCACTGGGATGGTGTTCACTGGGAGGACGTGCGCTGCCCTGATCCAGGTTCCCAACCCTGGCTCCACAGACCTCGGGCCACAGTGATAATTTGGGAGTGGGTGGCTGAACTGTCACTTTTCAGCACCCACCAATCTCACTGCACTCACCAGGGCAGCACTGAACCACCAGACTCACTGGGCAGTCCCCATCCAAAGTGCCACACACTGCCACAGCCCTGGCTCACAGGTGCCACGTCCTGGTCCCTCAGTTCAAGTTCTTCCTGTTTTTGTCTCCCCGTGCCAGGGCAGACACACACAGCTCCAGGGCAATGCAGTGTACCAGGTGATACACCACCAGGATGAGCAGAAAAGTAACAGACGCCGTTACACGAGCGCTGTCACACACAGCATACCGAGAGGTGACATCATGATTATGGGGACACAAAGGGGAGGCCCAGAGCTGGAGACCAAGTCCCTACCCCCGTGTCAGAGGCTGCATCGGGCTGCACCAAGCACTGCTGCAGAACCAGGTCCTCCATGTGTCCTGTGTGCTCCAGCTTGGTTTTTTCCTGAGAAATGCTCTATCAGTAAACCTTCTGCTGTCACCCACCAGGTGAGCAGTTGCAACTGGGGCTGTTGCTAATTGCTCCAGGTGGCGCGCGGGGTGCAGTACCATCTGCACAGCAGCAGTGCTTCCCTTCAGTGACCTCCCTGCAGCTGTCCCTCCAGTGGGAGCTCCTGACCATCCTGGGGTCCAGCAGGAATGGCACAGTGGCCTTGGTTCTTGGTGTCTGGCCTCTGAATTCCATGCCTTCTCTGCTGACTTCCTTCTCCTATTTGTGGCATGAGGCACACAACAGAGACTGCAACATGGCATTTGAGCTCCAGTGAGGTTCTTTAGTTTTTCTACAATCAGTTTCTTCCTTTCAGAGTACTTCTATCTTCTCTGGGAAGCCACGGTCTCTGCTCACTCTAGAAAAGAACTGTGGCTTTATTGTAAAGCCATTCACAACTGGACCCATTCAGAATCAGCCTCCTTGTGTTTGCACACGTCTAAGATAACAGATCTCTGAAACCTCAACATTAAAGGGGCTTTATTACCCCTCTGGGCTTTTGGGGGGCACTGCCACTGAAGTAGGGGGAACCGTTCAGATGTCCAGAAGCTAACCTTCCTGCGGCATTCGGTTTTGTGGACTCTTCCTGATACCACTACAGAAGGGGGAATCTCATGGAAACTTCTTCACTATGGTAAGGTACTCTGCAGCTGACATGACATTAATCTTTTAAGGTGGCCATGCTCTGTGCTTACTGATGTCACCAAGTTTCCACACTGCTCTGGTTCCGTCCACCACACAACCTGGCCACAGCTATCTGAGAGTGTAACAGACACCACCTGCACCGGTGTGTGCTGCAGAATGTGAGGGCAAAAGTGACCTGCTGGGAGCTCAGATGGCCATCGGGGTGACAATAACTCTAATGGTGCCACCCAAAGGGAACCAGCAAGTGAACACGGCAGCCAGGATGCTCCTTTGTGCCTCTCACACACCTTTGGGGACAGGGCTCCTGGAGTCCCCTCTGGGCCAGGCCCTCGCTTGCTCAGCTTTCACGGGACTTCACCTCCCAGGACCCCACAATCAAGGTGCTATTGTCTCCTTGTGACAAAGAAACCACCAAGGCTTGTATCTGGCAGCGAGGTCCAGAACCAGACCTGCACTCCAGCAGGAGAGCAGTTTCAAGAAAGAAGCAAGTTTTCATGCTGGCAGTGACACAAGCCCGCCTGTGGTCTCCAGAATGAAGACAGGCAAGGAATCAGGAAACTGACAAATATTCCTAATGTGTGCAAGAGCGCAATACCCCACAGAAGTACAGCCAAGGGCAGATGCAAGCTGACCAAAAGTAAGTGAAAACGATGACAAAAAATACATACAAATGACTCCCACACAGCTAATAAGCAAAAAAATCTGGCTGCTGCTGAGTACAGCGGCTCGTGCCCGTACTCCTGCTACTTGAGAGGCAGAGACCAGGAGGCTCAAAGTCCAAGGCCAGTCTCAGGCAAAATCACGAGACCCTACAAAAAATTAACTGAAGCAAAAAAGGTCTGAGGGCATGACTCAGAAATGGAGGGCCTTTCTAGCATGCACAAGGCCCTGAGTTCAAACCCTCATCACAGTCAAAAAGTAATAAAATCCAGCTGCTAATCTGCACCAAAATGACACAAAAGTTACCCTCATTAAGAGTCTGCTAACCTCAGCTGGGGAGAACTCATCTGCTGCAGTGGGATGTAGTTATACAGAGCTGCGTCCACGGCGGCCGTGTGTGGGCACGTCCTCTGGCGTGCAATGCTACCTCCTGGCACTAATCAGAATAAGTGGTCGGCCTGCCCTCTGTATCCACATCCGGAGTTCAACAATCATGGATCGGAAATACACAGAAAAAGAAAAAGTCGGGCTGGCAAGTGGTTCAAGTGGTAGTGTCTGCCTAAGCAGAAGAAGGGAAAGAAAGAGACAGAGGAAGAAAGGGAGGGAGGGAGGGTGTCTGGCTGGGCTGGATATGGAGGGAATTCTTTTTCCTGTCATTACTCCCTAAGCAATACGGAATAACTACCATTTGCACAGTAATACATTGTACCAGGTGTACATCACCTAGGATGTCGTGGGTTATGTGTATACACTTTGCTTTTTTAGGGGACTTCTCCATGCTGGACTTTGGTGACTGGGTCCTGGAACCAGTCCCCCTGCGATACTAAGGGTCAGCTCTGCTGTGCCTGGATATTTAGCTGGAATGTATTCACCACAACACTGCAGAGCAAAGGCCTCATGCACAAGTCCAGCAAGAGAGAAATAAATAAATCATGTCTATCACCACATGAATGGCTACGTGGTAGTAAAAGGGACTAAAATGCACACATGCTAGCAGAAGACCTGGGGACAGTTTCAGTCAATCAAGCTTCATGCCTACCCTGGATGACTCACGAGAATGAAAACACACGGCAGAAAGTGACTACCACACAAGAGGCTTTTGGTGCTACGGTGCCAGCACTGAAGACGGGACAGACAAGAAATGCGTTTTTGCAGCATCAGCTGCACCCTGGCTCCTGAGGGTGGGCAGCGGTGGCTTAGAGAGAAAGCAGGGGGCAGGCATGGTTGGACAGGAGCTACCCGTTCCACATGCTGACCTTGAGTCCTCCTACCACAGGCATCTCTGTTTTGCCTGTATGTTTCCAACATTCCGCAGGGAAACCCATTGCTTCCACAGTCAGAGCAAAACTTGCTGGGGAGGCCATGCACCAAGCCCCCTGGCTCGCCTGTAAGGAAGGGACATAAGAACTGTAGGCACACTGGCCATAGGACGGACGGGATGGCTATGAGCAAGGTGACGCAGGTCTTCCTAAACACCGCAGAGCAATCGCTCCTGACCTGTGGAGGGGTTTTACAGATGTGAAAAATAAAAGTAAACTGAAAGGGAAGAGACACTGTCACACTGGCAGTAAAGTGAACAGATGAACTTGTGTGTGGTGAAGAGCCTTCGCACTCTGCCTGTGGACACCTCTGACCACTCGACCCTAGTGGGTCCATCCTAAGAGGAGAAATCCAAGCCCAGAACAGGCAAATCCACAGGCAGAGGGGGTCAGGGGCTGAGAGAAAGGGGAATGAGAAGTGGCTCTCGTGGGCGTGGGCCTCTTCTAGGGTGACAGAAAAACAAACCAGTGAATTATACTTCAATAAGTTATTATTTTAAGAAGAAATGTAACATTGGCAGTAAACTTTTAAACTTATTTTGTATGCATTTTAAGATAAAGCAAAAAAGTCAATACACAGTTATAAAAAAACAAGATCTTTAGTAGAGAGGGGACAAACTAAAACAAAAAAGCTTTATGACATTGAATTTTATTTGGCCATATCAAAATATGGCCAAATAAATAGTATAACCATTCTGTGTGTTCAGATCCATCACCCGCCCCCAGCCAAGCTCTGACCCCACAAAGGCCTGGAAACGATGTCACTGCAGCTGTGGTCAACAGGCCACGTGCCCAGGCCTTCATTCAAAATCCTTTCCCCACAAGGCAGCGAGGTTCCCGGAGAAGGTGCTTGGGAAAGTGGAAGGTATCAGAGTGAAAGCAAGGGCAGCCCAAGAGGGCTGTGTCCATGGGCACAGGAGCTAGTCAAAAAGCCCTCCTTGGACAAGTCAGAGATGACTGAAAACCTCTTAAGAATAATGATCAAATTGATAACCCACCATATAAACATAAATCCTCACCTCCACTGTGATGCTAAAAGCAGAGGGAGACAAGGAGGAATGCCAACTTCCAAATGTGACAGATGTGACAGAATCGATAGCTCCACCAGCGAGAACCCACAAAAAACTCACAAGGGGTAAAGCGCCAAAGCCTGGGGGAGGCTGTCAGGGAACAAGGTATCACTCAGACCCTAACCAGCATGAACGGACCCTCTACTGCAGAGATCTGGTGGTCACCCTTAACCCAGGGGTCAAACTTAACAGCACCTGATGGGAGGACAATTGGACCCTCAAGAGGTAAGCAAGGTGCTGTCCTCAGTATCACCTGCAAAGAGCTCCCACCAAGAGGCTCCACCTGAATCAAACCACGCCCGCAACTCTCACTTCCCAGTTAAAGCAAACACAGGAAGTGAGGAACAATACACAAAGAAACAGACAAGCCCCAAAGTGGAATTTCAACAAGGCAACGGGCCAGACCCTTTTGTTGTTTTTGGGACTAGGGCTTAAACTCAAGGTTTTGCACTTGCACAACAGGCACGCTACCACTTGAGCCACACCTCCAGTCCATTTTGCTCTGGTTATTTTGGAGATGGGGACTCACAAACTATTTGCTCAGGCTGGCCTTAAACCTTGATCCTCCTCATCTCAGCCTCCCAAGTAGCCAGGATTACAGGTGTGAGCTACAGTGCCTGGCCAGACTCTTCAAAGAGGCAACACTGGAGGGCAGTAAGAGTGGAGAGACTGCTGTGTATCAGAAGCCTGAAAGGAATGACGCAGTATGGTCCAGCCTTTCCTTGGAGGGACATTGCTGCACAGGCCAGAATATGGCAAGCCTTGCAGACATTATGGAGGAAACAGACCAGCCACATAGACAAATGCCAGACAGACATGGCAGTATACACTTGTAATCCCAATACTTGCAAGGCTGAGGCAAGAGGACCAAGAGTTCAAGGCCAGTGGAGAGTTTGAGGCCTGCCTGAGCTACACAGCAAGACCTTGTCTCAAAACAAAAGAGAAGCACTGTGACCTCACTTAGGGAACAGGAAGGACAGGGTCAGGATTAGGGGCGGTGTTGTGGGGGTGGGGCGGTGGGAACACACTTTAGGTTTTACAGATGAGAACGTTCTAGAGATGCTGCAGAGCAGAGTGAATGCACACTGAACTGCACCCTGCACGTGGTAAAGATGGTAATGCTTACGTTCTGTGTTTTCATCATGATTTTTAAAAGCCCAAAAAGTCACAACATCCAAACAGAGCACGTGAACCGTGACTGGATCCTGGTTTTAAAAGGAGAAAAAGGCTAGAAAGCAGGGTCAGGACAAGTGTAGAAATCAGAATGCAGACTTGACACCTTAAGAAACTCGCTAACTTTCTGGGAGTTTGGAGCACACGGGAGAGCATCCTTATTTTCAGGAGTTGCGTGCAGAAGAGACGTGTCACCGCACATGCATGCCCATGCACGCAGAGACACTGAGGGTCCAGAACAGGCCCCCCCGCCATAAGGCTCACTCTGGGCTGTTGAGAACCAAGGCACAGGAAAAGCTCTAAAATCGGGGACAAGTTTTCTTTCCTTTTAAAGGCCATTTCCTGTCCTGCACTAGGAGGACCCCAGCAGCTCTCACAGCGCAGAATAAACCTACAAACAAACAAACCATGCTGTGACACCTCGTCCTGCACAGAGCCAAACCCTCTTTCCTGCTGTGAGCCCCAGATGGAGAAGCCCAGCCCGGGCTCCCCAGGCTCCCCGCTGCAGGGCACATGCCAGGCAGATGCGATGCACATGCTCCTTGTTTTTTTCCCCTTACTCTGTGTTTGGCAGTCTAATCTTTAGGTCCAGCCAGAGCGCCTTGGACAGGGAGAAAGAGGATTTTCCTCCCTGCCACAGTAGAATGACTGTAGCATCCTTGTGGAGGTCTGTGAATGTTTCTTCAACTGTTTTCAAAGGAAACTTTGATAAACTGAGAACTATTTAAGAGAAGGGCACATGAACTGTTCTGTGAGGAGTGCTCCCCTTTCCCGTTTGCCCCAGATCTGAGGAATGAGCTTGGTGTAGTTGGGTATTTAGGGTTGATGGTCTGGTTGCTATCCTTGTTAATTTATTTCCCAATTAAAACTGAATTTGGATTTAAGATGGGGCTGAAGACAAAGGAGAATGGCAATCAAGGTGTCTTAGAAAGTTCTCTCCGGCCACTTCTCTCTCCACATCACCGCCGTGCACTGCAGGCCTTGTCAGGTTAGGAGCCCCTCTGGCTTTGCAGCCCCTATAGGCCAGCCATGAAGGCCAGACAAACACCCACAGCCACACTCGCAGGAGGAATTTGGTGAATGCTGTTCAAGAGAGAAAACTCTAAAAGGAAAGACGAAGAAAGAGGTGCAGGTCTGCGATTGCAGAAAGACAAGCAAAGTCCTCCAAGAAAGCTGCCACAGAAAACAGCAGGAAACCATGCAAAGGCAGGGGTGTCACTGTGATCCAAGGTTAAGGACAGTAATTTCTTGGGAGGGTCACAGGGAAGGATGGGGACACGGGAAAGCAGACCCTGTGGTTTTCTTCCCAGGCTTCTAAAGAAGCCTTTAAGCCAGCTTCAGGAAGCGGTCTGCTGGAGGTGCAAAATCACATTACCTTGATAGTGATGTAGTTTTTTAACGATTTGGACATTTTTTCTCATCGCCTTTCACATGCAAATGTCCTGAAATGAAAACAGAAGAATTCCTTCTGAGCTGGGTGAGAAGACCTTTGCACCGTAAGAGGGAACAAGGGCTCAGCTTCTGGAACTGCAACCCTGAGCCTTGACCGCGTCCTCCCGGCTCACCGGAAGACACACGAGACAGAAAGAAACTTGCCTTGAATCACAAGTGCTGAAAGTGCCACCTGTGGCCCTCTAGGATGACATGTGCTGTTTTGCAGCTCGAGTCACACCCATGACACCCTGGGGGGACAATGACATGGGCCCAGGCTCACTTGGAACTTGGACAGTGGATAGCTGTTGACACTGACAGCACTATTCCTGTCTTCCCCTGCCCTGTGATTCGGGAACAGAGCACTTGTCTGATCTGACAGTCCGGGCACTTGAAGAGAAAGCTGGTCCTGGCTGCCCAGAGCACAAGTCGAGATCTGTAGGTCTCTGCGTGCCTGCCTGGCTTCTCTGCTGAGGCAGCCATCCTCCCCGACTTCTCCCCAACTGGCGATTTCACCCCAGGTGCGTGAATGGCAGGAGGAAAGCCAAACCCACTGAAGGAAGGCCTAAGCCCGTGCCTGGGATTTTCCCCGGACGGCGTTTCTATAGGCCTGTCTCTGAGGGGGGCCTTGCTGTTCCTATAAGAGACCCTTCCTCTTTTTCCAATATAACTTCAAATTCAAGGGTGCTCCAAGATCGATTTTCCTGAACACTGGTTAAAATGTGGCCTCTGAAAAGAAATGCAACCTTCAGTACACAATTCCTACACAACCTGCCACACACCAGGCACATTTAAAAATGGACAATATCTAGAAGATGAAGCACATTTGCTGTGGTCTGAATGCTCATGCCCTGCCACACTGCTGTGCTGAAGTCCCAACCCCAAGGGGAAAGTGTAAGAAGGTGATTGGGACACCAGGTCCAAGCATGCATAAGTGAGATCAGGGCCTGGGTTAAGCCATTTTCTGTTACTGCACTAAAACACCAGAGTCTGTGTGCTTTATAAAGAAAAGAGGTTCATTTAGCTCACAGTTCTGGAGGTTCAAGGGCATGGGTCTGTCACATCCTAAGTCAGAAAGCCAGGGACGGGTTCGCTCTTGTAACAATCCCCTAACCAGGATTGTTACAGGAACTGACCAGGTCCCTTCTCAAGGCGACTCAATCATTTCCCACGAGGCCTTCCTCTGAAAGGGCCCTCAAGCTTGAAACCTCAGAAGACCCCAAGCCCCCCTCCTTTGCACGGAGCCCCAGGGGCCACTCGAGCCACGTTCAAAGCACAGCAGTGTCCTTGTGAAAGAACCTGAGCCCAGAGCCCCGCCGCCACACAGGACACAATAATAAGACCGCCACGTGAGAAGGAGGCGCCACACCCGACACTGAGTCTGCCTCTGCTTTGCTGGAGGGTTCAGCCTCCAGGGCTGAAAGCAGCCCTGTGTCTCTAAGTGCCGAGCCCATGGAGTTTTGCAGGAGCAGCTGTAACAGAAGACAACAGCGGACTCATGCTGCTTTTCTCCAGTGATGGGGAGCCCTGCGAATGCAGTGTGGGGGCATGCAGGTGACAAGGACCCCAAGGGACAAGGACCCGAAGGGACTGGGGCAGGGACACTGCTGCTTTCCCAGAATGGGAAAGATGAGGCCACTGTCCTAGTAGCTAGCATGTCATTAAAACAAAATGCCAACTAAAAAGTCCTTCCCCAGGCTCCCTTAAAGGTGCCCCCAGCCTGTTTTCTAGCCCTGGCACCTCACCAATCCCGAGAAGAGACTCACGTCTGAGATTGCTGCTGGGAAGAGTTCCTACAGTTTGGGCTGCTCTGCCAGTCCTTTTTTGTGTTGGGGATTTCTGGTCTCACAAATATTTGCCTGGGCTGGCTTCGAACCATGATCCTCCTGATCTCTGAGTCCTGGGTAGCTAGGATTACAGGTGGTCATCCATTTTGATTCTCAGAGCCACAATTCACTGAAGGGCAAACAGCATCCCGTGGTGTCAGTAATAAGCCCACAGGAGCAACGGCCTGAGGCACAGCAGTGTCCACAGGGGGCCAGCTCTGGCTTCTCATGTCCCCATGGTGATGGACCATCCTGATTCTGTGCCAAGGGACACAAAGACTTCCACTGCCAGCATCTCCGAGACGGGGTGTTTGGGGAGACAAGGCGGACTCTGCACATTGCTCTCTCCTGGAGCCTGGGTGGAGTAGAAGGTGGGCGCCTGGCTGCCCCGACAAGGGCTGGCTTAGATATTCTAGTCAGGCAGTGCACCTTGCTTCCCGCCTGAGCACGGCTGAAGATGGAAGTAGATGTCTGCTCTTCTGGGGAGAGAAGCCACACGGCTGACAGACAGAGTGAAGCGACGTGAGCTGCTGAGTTCAGGAAGACGGTGTGGAGCGCAAGACACCTGCTGTGCAGTCTGCCAACCTTCCAGCAACTCTTTCAGCAGCTTCCTGGTCCAGAGGGGTGGGGCAGGTGAGGGCAGACATGGCAAACCGACTCCCCCAGGGGGCTGTGGGGGTAAAGAACCCGTGGGAGCAAGCACGCCCAGGGCAAGCAGCCGCCTCTGAGGACTCCACAACCCCCAAAGTGTTCCCTGGACAGGTGGTAACACTGGAGCCTACTGTACTGTGTCGCCTTCCTAATGGAAGGACTCAGTGACAGGGCATTTGTTAATACCCTGCATTGCAGATGCCAGTGACTACATCACGCCTACCAGCCACAGGCTCCTTCTCTTTGTCCCCTGTGCCTTAGCTGCCTGTGCCACAGAGGTAATGAAACTGGTTAATGCTGGTCCCACCTTTATCAAGCAGGACTGTGTGCTTCTTCCTGTGCGCCAAAGTGAATTCCAAAACTGCTCAGAGCGGAGCTTCCTTCGTTGCCACACTCCTGGGGCCAATGGCTGCTGTCAATCAGCTGTGACACGGAAGTCAGTGTCACTGGAGGACAACTGTGTCTATGCCTACACCATGGCTTAAAAACAGCACATTTGCAACTATTGCATTGGACTTTCAAATTCGAGCTTAGAAACTATTTGAAATAAAGTCATATAAAACAGTACTGCAAAGCACTTCCCATATTCCAGTCAGTTCTAGAAAGCTACACTCATCATTGGATCCAAAGAAATTCACGTCCAAATGAGTAAACTCCAAAAATGACCTCCGGTCTCATCTCTTGAACTATTAGCTGATCTGAGCTTTTCCAAACGTAGCCGCTTTGCCAGGAGTCGACCTGGTGGAATGAATTCACTGCAGGTCTTTACTTACCGGAATGTAGAAAGTAATTCCCCCACTGCTTGCACTGATGGAAGACCTCACTCTGCGCAATTTCGTTTTCATGATGTGGAAAAGCCAAGTCTATCCCGCCTGAATGGATGTCCAGCTGACTTCCAAACACCATGCTGCAAGGCACAGTGCAAACAGTGAACATTTATTTGGTGTTTGTGACTTAACTGTTAAACAACGTCACACAGAGGAATGGCAACAGGACTGAGTGGCCTCTGTGAGCCTGGTGTCCTGCAAAGCTTCATGCTGAAACTACCCGGCTGGTGGTGAAAGAGGCCACCCGCTCCAGGCTGTCAGCAGAGCACTGGGAAGTGCGGGGGTCCAGCTCAGGATGAGGTGGGTGTGCGTGGTACATGTACCGCCTGCAGGGGCACACAGTGAAGATGGAGGTGGAGCTGGGAGTTGGGACAGCTGAGCTCCAAATGGCTACAGTTCTCAAAGGTGCCACACCAGGCTGAGGGTCAGCTCCCTACACTGACCCCTGTACAGGGCACCAGCATGCGAGGGGAGACCAAACCACTGCCATGGGCTATAAGCAGCTCTTTCTGCTCAAAGGAGGCTGTGCTGAGGTGGGAGCCAAGTGTGCCAGGGCTGGGCTTTGGGTCCTTCCTTGGGAACCACACCCAGGTCTCTGCGCATCCAACCACTCTGAGCAAAGTTGCACACCTGGCCTTACCTGGCCATGGCAGAGCACTCGATGTGCCAGCCGGGCCTTCCGTCCCCCCAGGGTGAGGCCCAGAATACCTCCTGAGGCTTTGCTGCTTTCCACAGGGCAAAGTCACTGGCATGGCGCTTGTCGGAGTCAACTGCTGATAACAAAAGGCTGATGAGAGGGAGACGCGCCAGCCCACAGCAACCCCCACGACCCCAGCCATGAGGACAGCCCGAATCCCCACCACCCTCGCCTCCTGCACTCTGCTCTTCCCACGGGAGGCAGGGATGGAGGACCAGCCTGGGTTTCCACTTCACATGCACAGAACTCGAGCTGCAGCAGGGACCAGGCCCACAAACCCAGGTGTTCTGAGCTGAGGGCACTCCTGTCTCTGGAGTCACTGCGTCCCCAGTAGTGGTTTCCAAAACTACAGCAGACACGTGAGTGCAAAGGTCATCACCAAAGTGCCATGCACTCTAGCAAGGATGTCAGAGAAAGGCTGAACTGCGCCAGTTATGCTGGGAGGCAGTGTGTGTCCCCAGGTGTCTCAGAACCTAGGAACCGGGGCCTGAGCGGCACTCCATTTCAGTCAGTGCCACAGACACACTGTGCACTGAGTAAGTGCCAGGTGCTCGTATTCAGCTGGCTGCTGCCCAGCTGTCACCAGGCTGACTGTCCCTACCTCTACACAGGGCACAGTGGCAGAGACAAGGATGCCTGGGTCAGTTTGGAGCCCTGCCCCTAATACCACACAAGGACTGAGCAGTGCTCAGAGCGATCCCTGCTGGCAGTGTCAGGCTAGTGACCAGGACCAGCATGTGCACAGGGCCTCCCAGAGCATCAGGGGAGCACCCGATGTGTGCAAGGCTGGAAAACACACAGACATTCAGCAGGTCAGCTGAGAAGAGGACAAATGGCCATGGCAAGTAAGAAGGACAGCTTGGGCAGAGGCAATGTTACTGCCTGGTGTGAAAAGCGACACACTGCAGTATGAACATGGCTTTACAATGAGGCTACATTTTGTAAAACACATCTTGCAGGGTTGTGGGGTTGGGATTTAGCTCAGTGGAAGAGCGCTTGCCTGGCAAGTGCAAGGCCCTGAGTTCGGTCCCCAGCACTGGAAAAAAAAAAAAGGAAAAAAAACATAAAAACACATCTTGCTCCAGTCTGTATGTGGTGCACAGCGCCATTGTCTGTGGACTAGGTTAGATTACGGATGGGTGGTGCAACAGCAGCTACCCTGAAGGCTTACACAAATCTTGCTCACAGCACTGCTGTCTTTGACAAGTGCCACCAGCAGTGAATCCACTGAAAGGGGAGGTCAGCCTTTTATCTAGATCACGAGATGCATGGTCACACCAAGTGACATGGCTGGTGACCAAGCAGCAACACTCTGGGTGAGCTTGCTGCTCTGGCCAGGTGACCTGTGTCCCCCAAGGCCTCCTGCACTGTCTGATCCAGGTGGGGACCCCTGTGTGCAGAGTCAGTCCACCTGCGAGGGCCAACACAGGTGTGGATCAGGCCCTGGCCGTATCAGGAGCAAATGCACCCCTTTTGGGGGTCAGATGTGACATGCCATGTGTTCACTAGTGAAACAACTAGACCTCAAAGAGGGAAGCCTTGGCACCAGGCCGGGCACAGAAGTGAGACGCAGGCCGTGCTGGAGGAAACAGACCATGATTCAGGTGCTCGAAGACACATGGCCAAAGTGACTAATGAAAAGGTGGCACCTGGTAGGAAGAGGCAAGCACAGGGATATGTCCCCAAGGATGGGCTCTGCCTTCCGAAGGTGCTGGGCAATGAGCTTCAAAAACAAACGAGCAGGGGAGGTGGACACGGAGATGGTGCTCCCATGCACAGTGCTCTGAACAGCAGGGGAAGGGAGCGGTGCCGTAAAAGAAGCCTTCCAACCACAGGAAAATGCATCACGAAAGTGTCCTCAAGACCTGGCCACAGCAGAGGCCTGCACACCCTGCAGGGCCGCTGTGATCAGCAGGTCTCAGTAGCAGCTCAGTGTACACACAGGCAGGGACTTACTACCTCAGTCTGCCCAGAAGGCTGGGGATCAGTGACGGGCTGGAGCAATGAGGGCCCTAGTGTCACACTGTGTTCTTGAAAGACTAGTTTGAGCTGGGAGTGCCCGGCCACGTCAGATGGGAAGGGACAAACCACAGAGCACAACAAGGCTGTGGTCAAGTGACTTGCCCACGCATTGAAGCCCCCCAGGCAAAAGAAAGGGCGATGTGAGGACAGACAAGGATGTTGATGGCAACAGACTGAAACACAACACATGTACCTAAGTTCCCAGTGGTTCAAAAACAACTAATGGGTCTCCTTCAGGGGATGACACAAAATCAGCTATTTTGAAACTTGGTAAGTAAAGAAAAATCCCAAGTATCCCGCCTTTCCCACACAAGCTGTACTGCCAAGAAACCAAGAAGCAGCCTGCCTCGTACAGCAGCTGACCAGGATAGGGAATTGGTCAGGGACCCTCTCTGAGATTAAGGACCCACGTAGCATAGCAAGGGGATCCAAAAAGAGGTGGCGACAAAGTCACAGTCCCCAGACACTCAGAACTGGAGTACGCCTCTAGATCAAACTACCAACTTGTAAAAAGCCCATGGACAGAGGGAAATGTCAGTCACCTCGAGAACTGAGCAGGACAAGTCCCACCCAAGGAAACAAGAGCAGGCAGGTCTTCAGGGGACTGCAGGGAAGGCATGGGGGAGCACAGGGGAGAAACCGCCTCGAAGGTAAGAACACAAGGCAGCCTGGGTAAATTGCTGAGAGGGACCCAGGACAGGAACAGAGGAGTCATTGGGAACAGTGAGGCAAGGACTACCGCCCTAGGGGCTGCTCCCACGGGGCAGCTGGGACTGACCGTGGACATGGAAGCTGAGTGCCTTCAGTCCAGAGCCCCTGCTGTCTCCCTTCTCTGGGGTGACCACAAGGTCTCCACCTAACAAAAGTCACTGAGCTGAGCCTGTTTTCGTGGTGTTTCCTGCTGTGTCATTATAACTTAAAAGCTAAAACAAAACCCACTGATTCTGATGCTACGCCCTGAGGCATCAGAGCAAACGTTCTCTCCGTGTAAGAGTGAGTGCGTCTATCAGCTTGGGACTGCAGAATTCTATTCCCTACATGCTCTTGTGTAAGACATACTGCTGTAAGGCTGTGCAGCAAGAAGGGCTCTCGTTCATTGCTGGTGGGCAGGTAAATGGCACGGCCACTTTGGAAGAGACTTTGTCACATCATCCAGCAATCGCACTCCTTGGGATTTACCCAAAGCAGTGAAAAACGTACATCCTCACAAAAGCCTGCAGTTGATGTCGACAGCAGCTCCATTCATAACTGCCTGAACCTGGAAGCACCCAAGATGCCTTCCGTAAGTGAATGGACTAACAGACTCTGGCACCGTGGGATGTTATTTGGATTAACAAGAAATGAGCTACAGACCCATGAAAAGACTCGGGGGCGAAATGCATGTTACTAATGAGACAACCTGGAAATGTTTGTGCTCCATGATCCCAACTCGGTGTTATTCAGGAAGAACAGAGCCATGGAGACCGTGAAAAGGTTGGTGATAGGGGAGGAACACAGGGCACTCAGAGCCAGAAACCCCTCTGTGTGCCACAATGGTAACACAATGGTAACAAGTCATTACTCACTTGTGCAGATCCACAGACGAGACACACCAAGACCCAGCCCTGACATTAACAATGGACTTGGGGTGATGCTAGTGCATCAGTGCTGGCCCCATCGGCTGTGACACAGACTGCTCTGGGGAGATGGTGATGGTGGGTGGGGCCATGCACCAGCAGGGAAACAGGTAAGACGGGAACTCTGTACTTTCAATTTGCTGTGAACCTAAAATGGCTCTGAAAATATAAAGTCTATTAAAGACAAAAAAAATTGTTGCTGATGCAGAATGGGTAGTTTCACAATGTCCTCCTCCTCCAGGAGACCTAGCCCAATGCGGAGCTGTAGCTCAGGGTGAGGACAGCCTAGAACATCCTGCCCTGGCCTGTGCGAGGAGGGGAGCAAGCATGCTGACTGGGTAAAAGAAACTAGTTCCTCTTCTGAGGAGTCAAATATAAAATGCTGTTAAAAACTCAAGTGATAGAGTGCTCGCCTGGCTTGCGTGAAGCCCTAAGTTCAAACACCAGCACTGCCAAAACTTAAAAAATTAAAAATTTAAATGGCACAGTTTATAAGGCAAGAAGACAAGTCCTAAAGACAGAAATACCTGGGACATTTTATCTTTGGGGTTTTGCTTGCTATTCTTGTTTGGTTCCTTAAGGAGTATCCCTTAAAATTTATTTTAAATTTCTTTCCAGATACTTATTATTTCTTCTCCATAAAAATGATTTTTTTTTTAACTTGGAGCAGAATGCAGCTGGGGAACAGATTCAAGCATGCTAGGAATTTAAGGCATGGCAAAAGGCACTGAGGACTGGACAACAGCAGAAGCTACAGGGGAGAGCTACAGTACAACCCCATGTGCATGTGTGTTCCCATGCAGGGAACACCCAGAAGAGCAGCACTGTAGGGCTCCAGATGGAGCAGGCCACGGGGACGCAGGGAGAAGCTGCATTGCTGCTTGACTTCCACAATTCACAAGTTTTACGTACTCCAAGAAATGAATTACCTCTACAACATGGCTGTGATCAGCGCAGGGCCAAATGTCACCGTGTGTGCACAAGTGGGACCCAGTTCAGACCCCTCCAAGCCCGACCCATGGCAGGAGGGTCAGGGCCCGTGTCACCTACCTGGCTCTCCAGCTGCACCCAGTGACACGCTGACCAGCTTGCCATACTCGTCCCCTCTCGACCTCAGATCGAAGTAGACATTGCCTGTTCACAGAAGAGTCAGGAGTCCGTCATTTCCCTCTCAAGTACCCCACCCTGCCAGGCCCCACGGCTAGTAGTAGCTGGCACTGAACAGTGGCTGCACCTCCACTCGGCCCCTCTGCTGTGTGTTAAGCCAGAACTAAAAGCAACAGGACTCCATTAGAAAAGATGGTTTGGACACAACACAAACGTCCAGAGGCAAAAGTTACAACATGAATGTGAGTCCTTGGCAAACCGTTGAGCCAACTAACTGCTTTCACTCAGGAAAGAGGGGTGCTGTCACTGACTGTATTCCACCCTGCTCACGGGCTTTGCCACATACCAATTCACGAAGATACTGGGTTTTGGGTTTTTTTTTTTTTTTTGGCAGTTCTGGGGTTTGAACTCAGGGCCTGGTGCTTGCTAGGCAGGTGCTCTTCCACTTAAGCCACACCCCCAGCCCTTTTGCTTTTAGCTAATTTTTGGATAGGGTTGCCTGTGTATTCCACCCTGCTCACGGGCTTTGCCACATACCAATTCACGAAGATACTGGGTTTTGGGTTTTTTTTTTTTTTTTGGCAGTTCTGGGGTTTGAACTCAGGGCCTGGTGCTTGCTAGGCAGGTGCTCTTCCACTTAAGCCACACCCCCAGCCCTTTTGCTTTTAGCTAATTTTTGGATAGGGTTTGCCTGGTGCCTACTGCACCCGCTCATAATGAAGCTAGGTTCACACTTCCAGCTTCTTTGTTAAGATGAGATCTTGCTAACTTTTTGCCCAGGCTGGCCTCAAACCATGACCCTCCCATCTCCACCTCCCCAACAGCTGGGATTATAGGCATGTGCCACCATGCCTCACAGAGCGGTTCTTTACCAGGTATCCTAAAACACCTTTAGACCTAGATGAAAAGCAACATCTGGGCAGCAAGCGTCCACAGGCTCTTCTTTCACTGAGATGCCTGTGGCCACCCACTGTTTCAGAGCAGGGTTACATATAACAGCCAGTGACAGCCCAGGCTCTCTTTCCGATCATAAGGTGTGAGGGACATGCAGAGCAGAGGAGCTGGATCCAGGGGAAAAGCTAACCAGCTCCCCTGGGACCCCATGGCTCCCTCCCAGGAGCAGGCACTAACAAGGCTATGCAGTGATCTGTCCCCAAACCCACACCTGCCAGCCACCCTGAACAACATGTGACTATCATTAGGGCCCAGGCATGGGTGTCATTTCTCACCTTCACTTAGAAATTTCTCACTCTGAACCTCACATTCCTTTTCCTAGCAGTTCCTAATTCATACCTGGGCTCTTCTGCCTGGGAACACCGATCCTAAAAACAGGTTATTTTAAGACCAAGGAAACTGTGGGTCTGGCAGATACAAGAAGTACCTGAGCACCCGCACTAGCCCACTCATGGATACAGGAGCAGGAGAGGAGGGTAAGAAGTGTCTTGGAAAACAAAGCCTGGCAGCAGAGCACCAGCCTGGCCCTGTCCCCTTGGTGTCTTTGTCATGTAGATTCAGCTGTTGAGCTATACTGGCTCCACAGGCAGCCCAGCGAAGTGGGAGGCAAGAGCCACACAGGCCCTGAGGGAGCTGTGTCCACGCAGACAGCATCTTTGTAACAGAGACCGACCCTCCACTGCCTTTCGTTGATGTTATCAATTTGCTGAACAAATTGTTTTCACAAATAGTTCAAAGACCGAATCACAGCCAAGCCTGGTGGAACTGTCACAAAGTCCAAGTGAATGTAAGGGTATTTTGAGTTGCTTGTATTTACACTGCTGTTCACATTTTACAGTAACACAAAGGAACGAGAGTGTAAGATAACCAGCACTCTCCCTTACCCACACAGGGATGAGCACAAGCCAAGCCCTGGGCATCCCTCTCTGTTTTCTGGAACTTATCCCATTGCATGCCACACGGCAGCAGAATGACCCTATGCTCTGTGGACCAAGCTTGGGTGGCACCTAAGTCCTTCAGAAAGGTGCTCTTGGAGATGACCTGAGTGCCAAATTAGACTGAGTAGGAGTTGCAGGGTTTCCCTCCGTGCAGGCTCCTAAGCAGGGTGCCTCCCATCTCTCCTGTGCTGCATGAGGCCAGAGGACAGGTGCACTGCCTGGTCAGTGTCCAGGACCAGGCTTTCTATTTTGCTATTTACCTGCAACAAGCATCTCCATGCAGCATCTCCGTGACCCTGGGCTGGGTGGCCTGACAGGTTATTAAGCAACAGCAAAAGGATTTTTATGGCTTGAAAATGTATGCTAGACAGGAACAAAACTGGTTACAATAAGCAGCAAATGGCCACAGCAGACATGGGTCCAAACTGTGTGGCAGACACCCAAGCTAGAAAGCAGTCCACGTGCAGCTGCACATGGAACTGGGGCGTCATGGAGAGTCTGTGGACCCAGAAAGACCAGCCAGGTTAGGTACAGCTGAGCTCAGTGCGTGACCAAAGGAGTAGTCGGACACACAAAACCAGCCTCATAGACAATGGGAAGCAGCTGTTGAGTGGAGGCTCTGCAAGCAGTGACAGTGAGTCTCCTGAAGAAGCCCCTAAGGAGGAAACGAGGGAGACTAAAAAGACAACCACATGCAGGGGCACCCTGATTACACGAGGGAAGCACAGAGCAGACAAGAGACATCCCCAGGGAAGGACTCACTGCAGATATGACAGCAGCTCTGGGCTCCTTTTATTCAGAGACATAGCTGTGGTGTCAAGGGGAGCTTTTGGGGACCACTAATAAACTAGATGGATAGCCCAGGACTAAGCCCTACCAGAAAGGGAGCAGGTCTATAAAATCCTGCCCTTGCCCCAACTTTTTATTATGAAAATTCCTGAACAACGTTGGAAGAGGACCATGATGAACACCTGTACACCTGCCACCTACATTTCACAGAGCGTCAAAAGTAGCTCTCTAGGTGTTCCATCTCCTGGGACTGTGGGAAACAGCTTCAGAAAGAACAGATGTAACAGTTTTCAGACTCAACACTGCAAGAAACCCCAGGACATTTTCACTGCAGGAATCACGCTAACGCAGACATTTCACTTCAGTATGTTCCAGCAACTCAGGTCTGTCTGGCTTCTCAAAACCCGAACTACATTGCCAGGTAATCAGTTTTCACCGCACAAGCCCTACCTTTGGACGTTGGATAAGCATGTCCATGAGCAATTATTCCTTCAATGAAGGAAATTATCTGAGGGATATTTTCAGTGACTCTCAAGTACACCGTGGGCGGCAGAACCTGGAAGAAAGCAGAGACGTGACTGTGTTCCTTTGATCAAAGGTGCAGTATAGCTGGGTGCCGGTGGCTCACATCTGAAATCCTAGCTACTCAGGAGGCACAGATCAGGAGGAATGCAGTTTGAAGCCACCCCAGAGCAAACAGTTCGTGAGACACTATCTCAAAAAAAAAAAAAAAACCATCACAAAAAATGACTGGTGGAATGGTTCAAGGTATATGCCCTGAGTTCAAACCCCAGTATCACAAAAAAAATAAATAAATAAAAGGTGCAGTATATGGGTTTGGCTTGACAAGACCACGGCCATCTTGGGTTGTCACCGCCATGACCCTGGTTGGTTTTTTTCTGTGCAATTTCCCAGCAAACTACAGCTGAACAAGACCATTGGAGTGATTTATGGAGTCAGACAAGCAGATGCTGTGCCTGACTCTGACACCAGCTTAAGATAAACCAGGTAGATTTTGGGCAGGACAAAGGCACCTTGTGCTGACTTATATGTACAGCCTCCTTCAGACCAAATCGCAGGGACCCGACTCATCTGGCTGCTGCCAGGACCGCGCTTCCGTCAGTGAGCCCCATACATGGGACTGTGCAATCACAGACCTGTCTGCCTCTTTCTTTGATCTGACAGCACTGGGAAGAGGGGATTGATTCCTCCGGACTCTAGGACCGGGCTGCTGCAGAACACCAGGCGCTGGTGCCCTTCCTGGCTCCAGCAGGTCTCCCTCCCCGTAGGAAAAGCCAACCATACATTACCTTCAGGGATACCATGTCTTGCTTGAAATCTTCTTCATACACGCTGGCGAGAGAAGCAGGAGACACGTTCATCTGCAGAGCGGACAGGTGAACAGTTAGCTTGCCAAAGAACCCACAGGGGACCTGGGATAGGAGGGTGGCCATGCGCACCGCTGGGCTGAGCCTCGGTGTGGTGCTGGCCTCTCTAGCATGGGTGTCAGAATTTCTGTTATGTAATAAAAAAGTAAGCCAACCCTGCTCTCCACTTTTCTAAAAGAAGGGCAACATCAGTATAGTCTCCATAGTAACAAGAACAGAGTTCAAATCTTACCACTTAGTCCTCAGATGGGGAAAAAAAGGTCAAAAATACATTAAAGAAGAAATCTCTAAAGAAACATTTTGAAAGTAACTTAACACACTAATTGGGGATTGGACTGGGGTAGTGAAGCCCTTGGGTCATGTGACTGGACTCCTAAGAAGGGATGAGACCACCATGGCAGTAGGCCAACGCTGACTGCAGGTGCATTTGCAGACCTGAATCTGCAGCTCCTGTGGGGAGGAGGCTAGAATGCAAATGCAGGCCCAGCACACAACCCCATCTGAGCAGAAGCACGAGACGCTGCAAAGTTCCGACTCAGACAAAGGCTCATGACTGCATCCTTGTACAAGTCATCCACCAGCCACCCAGGCTCTGCTGGCATTTACAAAGCACCTACTGTGTGCAGGTCGCTCCCCTGACCTGCTCCACACATGCTCCATGAAACAGGTCTTCCCATGTCATGAGTGAAAAAACGTCTGCTTTATAACATTAAGAATCTTTTCCAAGTTTCTCAGTGCTGTGGCTGGGGCCAGGTAGCTGACCATGTCACCTGGGGCCCGTGTTCCACCTGCCCAGGGCTCTAAACAGCATGCTCACCCCAGAAACCGTGACCAGTGAGTACTCACTGAAGAAAGACATCTGGTGGTCAGGAGTTGCTACCTAGTTCTTTAGCTCTGAGGACTTGGGCAGATCACTGAACTAAACCTCTCAGCCTTTGGTTTTTCTGCAACACAAAAATCATCCCACCCACGATCCCTTAGGCTGTTGGGAAGGTTAAATGTGCATGGACCAAGACAGTGCTGTACGAGAACACAGTACCACCAATATTTTTAACAAGATCGAGTACCAGCATCGAGCACAATGTGCAGTTCCTTTCCTGGGGGTGGCTTTGCGGCAAAACAGACTTTTAGTAAAGAAATCAAATAACTTGTGTCTGCCCAGGGGACAAAAGACCAAACAAAAAAGCCCAAGAATATGGCATGTTCTTGCCACTCGGGAAGTTTCAAATACTGTGTGACTCTGGACCTAAAGATCTGCAGGTTGCTTTCACTTACCTGTCTAATCTTACTTTTTTCCCATAGACAATTTCATTCCTAGGGGACTTCAAATGACACAAGGGAGGTCCAGACTTGCTGGCTCTCCAGGAAACACTCATCAGTTATCCCAGGAGCATGGTCACGATGAAGTCCATGCCTCCGTCTGGGCTCACAGCATCGCAGGTCTGTGCTGTACACGGAGGCCTGCTCTTCCCAAAGGCTGCCAGATGCCAGCCTGCACATGTCAGGAGTGTATCCCATCTGTGCACATCCAGCGTGTCACACCCGCCGAGGACAAGTCTGAGCCACACACTCAGTGGGGAATGGCTTGGTCAGAGGGGATCACCTGTGGACCGCCATGCTTCCTTCTGCAGGAGTCACCAACTGACACCAAGCAGCCACCCTGGTGTCCACTTCCCTCCACCCTCACCCAGCACATGTGCAGACTTGATGAGACATCTGAATGTCTTTTTGTCACAATGTTAATTTCTACCTCTCTTGTTCTGGAGTGAGCTGGCACATTTCACAGGTTTAGGACCAAACCTGTAATACAGATTAAACAATCTATAATTTTCCAGACCCACTTTTCTATTGAGTTGTAGTCTGTCTCTTACTGATACATAGGAGGTATTTTTATTTTAAAGAAATTAGTCATTTATGTGCGTAATTTTTTTTTTGAACCGGGGGTCTGTGTTGCCCAGGCTGACCCCAAACTCACGAGATCCTCCCAGGTGGCTGGGGTTATAAGCAGGTGCCACCATGTTTTTTAGCTCTGATACAAATTTCAATTTTTTTTCAGGTTTTCAACATTATGGTTATTTCACAGCACAGTGAAAATTTTATGTTTCTATTTTGCAATTTTTTCAATTTCTGAATCTTCTCCCATAGGTGGTTATTGGGCCTAGAAACAAGTAGAGAAAAGCCTTCCCTGACCTGGGGTTCCTTCTGATAACCTTGGGGAGCCATAGTGGTCGGGAAGGTCCGACTACTTCCCCTCAACATTGTCCGTTGACAGGGGCGTCAAGTTCTAAAAGGTGACCTGTGAACTCAGTCCCTGAGAGGCTGGTCACACCACACACTGGATAGAATGTCCTGTCACTGGCCAGAACCCAGATTACATGGGGCAGGTACCAGGCAAGTCCAGCCCTTGCTACTGCAGGTGATTTCCTGCCTGTCCCCTACCATGGTGAACAACTTCAAGTTAGCCACCCTACTTCTTCACAGCGAACCCCACTAGGCTGGGCTCCCCGCACCCTAGCCTTTCCAGAACATTCCACCTTCTTCCCAGGATGAAGGCTTAAATCACTGAGGTATTTAACATGATTTTTTCTTAAAGTGAAATCTTGCCATGCAAAGCCACCATACTTTAAAAATTCTTCCCCCAGACCTGTTTAAACCCTCGTCACTTTTATCCTTGACAAACTATACAACTGGGACAAAAATTAGAGCAATTCAGAAACGTGTGACACTGTCCTTTAAAATATTTAAAAAACAAAATCTTGGAGCAGATGGCGAGAAAGAGCAGCATCAATAGCAAACCAGATGTCACTGAGAGAAGAATGACTGAAGACAACACGAGAACACGGTCCACCACGCAAAGAAATACCATCCACCCTGGAGAGAAGGAATTCCCGGCCCATGCTGCAACATGGAGGAAGCCTGAGGTTCCCGTGTGCAGTGAAATGAGCCAGTGAAAAAGGAAAATGTCGTATGAGTCACTCACAGTCGAATTCAGAGACTGGAGGCAGTGTCCAGGGGAGGGGACGGGGAGTTACTGTGGGATGGGACAGAGTTCCCAATGTGGAAGACGAGAACGTTCTGGAGAACGACGGTGCTGGCAACTGCCCAGGACTGTGATGTCCTCAACGTCACTGGACTGTGCAAGTGTACAGAATTGTCCAGGTGAGGGGCATGGCTCATGTGGTACAGCACCTGCCACACGAGCTCAAAGCCCTGAGTTTAAAACCCTAGTACCAAAAAAAAAAAATAAAATAAAAAGAGAAAAGAATTGTCAAGATGGTAAATTTTATGTTACTAAAAATGGCAAGAAAGCGGGCTGGAGGTGCACTCAAGTGCTAGAGGCCTGCAAGGCCCTGAGTTTCATCCCCAGCACTGCCAACAAAAAAATTAACAACAACAACAACAACAAAAAAACAAAAGAGAGAAAAAGAAAAAAAAAATCTTAATAAATACAATCTGTGAGTAAAAGCCCAAGCTCTGCTTAGCACATGGAGTGTTCTGAAACTAAAAGGATGACATAAGCACACCTGCTAGGTCATCAAAAAACACAGAATGGACAGGCACCAGGGCAGCAGTACCAGTGTGCCCAAGTTAACAGGCCTTGACAGAGAGAGAGAAAGGTTATTTCCCACACAGAATGGACTAGGCATCGGCCAGAGACTCAAGCCAGACCCTCAACCACAGTTCCAGACTTGATTTCCTTTACCGGCACAACAAAGATCACCTTGATAACTGCTGCTGTTTCCGTCATTAAGCCACTCTCATGGCCCCCTGTAGATTATAAAACATAGCCAGGCACCGGTGGCTCATGCCTATAATCCTAGCTACTTGAGAGAATTACAGTTTGAGGCCAACCCAGGGAAATAGCTCTCAAGACCCCATCTCCAAAATAACCAGAGCAAGCCGGAAGGCAGTGCCTCACACCTGTAATCCTAGCTACTCAGAAGTCAGACATCAGGAGGATCACAGTTCAAGGTCAAATACTTCAAGAGACCCTATCTTGAAAATAACCAACACAAAACAGGGCTGGTGGAGTGGCTCAAGTGGTAGAGCACCTGCCTAGCAAGCATGAGGCTCTGAGTTCAAACCCAGTACTGCTAAAAAAAAAATAAAATAACCAGAGCAAAGTAGACTAGAAGTGTGGCTCAAGTGGTAGAGCACCTCCTTTGTGAACTGAAGCTCTGAGTTCAAAGCCCAGTTCCACAAAAAAAAAAAAGATGACTAAATATGAGAACTACTTGTTAAAAAAAACAAACAGTTGGTCACCCATCAAGTCAGAGATAAGTGTGAAATCACCTCCCGTGCTCACCTCCTTGGCTCGAGTGATTATTTTGTCGTCCACATCTGTGATCCCCATCACCATGACGATGTTGCATCCAAAAAACTCAGTTAAGACCCTTCGAACGATATCAAATCTGACGTAGGAACTAAAGGGGAAAAAGCTGGGTTGTGATGTACGGAATTGTCACTGTAAAGCTTGAAAAAATTCATCACACTTGAGCATGCTGCTACTTTACTCCAGCTGTGTAACATAACTGACAGTTCAAGGGCAGGAAGTAGAGGAAGAGCCTTTTTTTCCCTAACCATGCCGCAGCTTGTAGCTCACACAAATTTTGGGAAAAGCTGATCAAAGAACTGCATCAATTTCTGAACACGATATTTATATTTTTAGTTTTAGAGTTGTTTGATTGAGTTTATATCTGCTTAAATGCATAGAAATTCACTCCTTGTCAGGAACTGACAACTCACATCTGTAATTTGAGCTACTTGAGAGGTTGGGATCAGGAAGATCAATTGTGGTTTGAGGCCAGCATGGGCAAATAATTCATGAGCTCTCGTCTCCAAAATAACCAAAGCAAAATGTGCTGGAGGAATGGCTCAAGTTGTAGAGTGCCTGCTTTGCAAGTGCAAGACCCTGAGTTCAAACCCCAGTCCCACCAATAAATAAATAAATTCACTCATAACACAATCTCTCTAGGTTGTTAAACCCCTGTTCACTCAAGGCAGTCCCATGGTACTCCATCTCCATGAGACAAAACCCCAACTGCTGGGGCCAAATAACAGAATACCTGCCCAGTCTGGTCCTAGCCAGCCCTTCCCTCCCCACCACTGTGGAGAGTAGATTATGAGAAGCCAATGAGAACTGGACATAAGCAAGGTGCGATGCAGCTCAGCCGCTCTTCCTAAGATGTTTACCTGTACGCCCAGATTGGCACAGCCCTGGCCACAGAAGAGGGAAATGCAGAACAGCTGTTTCTCCAAAGTTGTTGACGTTCAGAGGAGCAGGGAGACAGGTTTCTCCTGTTCGGTCATACCCCTCCCTGAGAGTCACTGTTCCACCCTGTTTACCACTGGGTGTAAAAGACTCACTGAAGGAGAGGCTTTTGCTTTGGGCTTTTGGGTGGTTAGCTTTTTGGTGTGGGAGGCTTTTGGAAGGGAAAAGAATTGCTGAAGGGAAAAGGATTGTGGAAGGGAAAAGGACTGCGGAAGGGAAAATGAATTGCTGAAGGGAAAGTGTTGGAGGAAGATTGCAGAAGGAGGAAAACGAATTGAAGGGAGGACTGCTGAAGGGAAAAGAATTGCTGAAGGAGAATTGCTAGCAAGTCTGAGGGTCGAGACTTTAAGAGAGCTAAAGAGAGAACATGAAACAGTAAAGTCTGCACCAAGAACTTTATACATAGGCTTTAGAAAAGCTAAGCTAAATACAAGCTACAGAACATGGGACAGTGCGAGTCTAAGGACAGACTCTAAAAGTTATGCATATGCAGTTTTTAGGCACAGCTGTTGTTGTTTGCAAGTCTGAGCACCGAGGCTTTTAAAAACCTAAGAGAGAACATGGGACAGTGCAAGTCTGGAAGCAAAGTCTTTAAGAGAGATTATGCTAATGAAAAGCTAAGAGAAAACATGGGACAGAGCGAGTCTAAGGAAAAAGACTTTAAAGAATAGTGAAGCAAGATTTTATTTATTTTTTTACTGTTGTACAGTTCTTTTTTTTTTCTTTTATTCATATGTGCATACAATGTTTGGGTCATTTTGAAGCAAGGTTTTAAAGAACTGTAAAGGAGTAAGGCCTTACAGAATAGAGACAGAAATAAGAAGCAGAGTAAATGAAGAGAATAATAGAGAAAAAAAGCAATGAGGCAGTTGTGTGTCTCCACCCAAGTGCCCAGCACATCTGGCCCCAACTTTCTGTCTGTCTGTCTATCCTGTGTCCTTTCTGCATCTCCTGTCACAGCCTAGTTAGCCCCAGTTAGGTTCAGTAGTAACCAGGAATGACAGAAAGCTTGCTCCAACAAGGGAGTGAGAGAAAAAGTTCACTCCACTCCACCAAAACTGGCCAATCTGTTTTCCCCAAGCAGGATTCACACCCCTCTGCCAGCCTCTTCTGGACATCTTCTTATCTTGAACTGAGCCCTTTCCTGCTCCAAAACTACTCAGACTCTGCCTCCTGGAGCAGGCACTGTCCGGTCCCTGCCCTGCTGGAGCTGATGTTAGAGCATGCTAACGAAGTTCAAAGACTAAGCAAACAACCCCTGAAGCTGTTATGGTGAAGCATTAAGTGGGCAGTCTATGATGTTTTATTATAGGAACCCAAATGGACTGAGGCAGGTTGTACCATAAAACTCTGCAGAAGAGCGAAATTTCTGTCTGTGCAGTCCTTTTAAGCATGTATCATTCTGGTTAAACACTGTCCAACGGCAAATTGTTCTTTCTCTCCTACCTTTGTGGAGAGGATTTCAGGGATGGGTTTTTGTTTTTAATATTTCCCCAATGTATTTTATACTTCAATAAAGATGTCAAAATAGAATTTTTATAATTAACAGTAAGTTAGCCCAAAATGAAGGGGTAAAAAGGTAAGTCCTAAATAATTTTTGTTTTCTTATAACAAAATACATGAAAAGTTAAGATCTTCCCAGATTATATGTCATTTGCTAAATTATACAAAGAATTAATAATAACATTTTTTGTTTTCTTTTTTTTTGGTGGTACTGGGGTTTGAACTCCAGGCCTCACGCTTGCTAGGCAGGCACTCTTACTGCTTGAGCCATTCCAACAGCCTTTTTTTTCTTTTTTAATTAGTCTAGGTTTGAACAAGACCCAGCTTAAAAGAAAAAAACAATAACAACTTAATAGGAAAAGTGGAAATTTTGGCAAATTGAGGAGGCAACGCATCTTAAGGTTAAGTCAGGCTGCCCAAGCTTCACCCCCACTCCAGTGTACACCCTGAGTAACTGCTGAGCCCTTGGGACAGGCACTCGCCCAGTGCTGTGGTAAGAAGTACTGTATGGGATTATGTCCTAAAACTGCCACGAAGATTCAAAACTGTGGACTATTATCTCCCCATCTTAAAGAGGAAGAAGCCAAAATTCCAGCAATAAAGTGACTTGTCCAAGTCTGGGAAGTAATAAATGGTGGGAACCACAATGACTTCCCACCAGCTGGATTTCAGGCCCCTGGATCCCTGGTGATCACACTAAACCCAACAACAAGCATCAAATTCCAAAATGGGTCACTTTCCTCTGCTCCACATGCCCTTCCTGAGTTTCCTGACCTGTGAAATGGACACCGGTGCTTAGAATTGCTACAAGAATCAAATGAAGTTCATGCAAGTGCTTCCTACAGTGCCTGGAACAGAGTTAATTATTCAATATATTTAAGTGGCCACTTGAGAGTTTTAAAGACAGTGAAAGGTTATTCTTTGCAAAAATAAATGATCCCTTGACACGTGAAAATTCAAATCCAGGAAACTCACCAAGCATGGCCAAGGTGTGCATGATCGTATACAGTTGGTCCACAGCTATACCTGGGAACAAAGTTAAGATCCATCACGTGACCATTTCCAAGCAAGGGTCCTAAATTCTCAGTTACAACAATCACGTTTTTTTAGGCCACCACCTCCGCGGAGCGCACGCCGGAGCCCAGGGCCGACCGGAGGTAACTCGGCACCTGTGAGCCCGGCACTAGACCCGCGCACCAGCTCCCAGGCTGCGGTTCGGAACCAGCCCGCCACGGACCCCTGACCGACCCCGAGCCCACGCACCAGGAGACGGCGTCCGCGCGGGCCACGATCAGCGGGTCCTTCCTGCCGGTGAGGCTATTGTACACCTGCACGCCGGTGTCATGGCCCTCCGGCCGCTGCCAGGCCTGTCCGCGCCGGGTGCACGCCGCCCGACTGGCCGACCCGCCCCGCCCGAGGCCCAGCGCTGCCCGGAGCGGCGAAGCGCCCAGGCGGGGCCCGCGCGTCCACAGCATATCAGAGGCCGCGAGCACCCAACGCGCCAGACGCTCAAGGCCAGGAAGGCGCCCGAAGCTCCGCCCATCAAGACCACGCCCACGCCCAGAGGGCCCGCCCCGGAGGAGGCCACGCCCACCAGCCGACCCTCCGCTCTGCCAGCCGGAGGGCCCGCCCCGACAGGCTAAGGCCACGCCCACGCCACGCCCAGCCCGCGCTGCGCCCCGGGAGAGCCCGCCTACTCCCGGAAGAGGCTCGCTGGAGGAGGTTCCTCCCCAGGGCCTGGCTCGCGTCCGCCGCCAGGAGGAAGGGGGACCTAGCCCCGGGGGGCGGAAGTGCGAGAGGCCCGCGGCGGGGTGCGGGGCGCGCGGCGCGAGGCGGGGCCGCAGCCCGGAAGCCGCCGGAAGAGGCGGGGCCTCTGCGCTCCCTTCTGCTTATTAGCGCGGGTCTCGGCCGGCGTCCTTGGGGACGAGCTGTGTGACGCGGCGCCCTCGGTGTTTATCTCCCGTGTCTTTAGTGCCCGCAGAGACGAGGAGCGTAACGCCCGCCACTGGGACCTCGCATGCTCGAGAGGTACATTCGCACCGCAACTCATGCACACAATCAGCGCATCTGCACCCCAGAGTGCACGCAGCATAGCTGCACGGGAATACGGTGTGCACCCCAACATGCAGCACAAGTGCGTCGTGACACGGCACTGAACCCCAGCACCCCGTGTCTACACACGGCACACGCAGCACGTCTGCCCCTGCGAACGCCGCGCCTGCTCTCCAGCACACACCCCTGCACCCTAACGCGCTCGGCACGCCCGCGTGCACCCCAGCACGCCATGTGTACATCCCCAGCGTGCACAGAGCCTGTCCACACCGCAGTCCAGTGTGGACCCCAACGCACGGCTGCACCCCATCACACACAGCATGGGTGCACCTCAATACACAGCTTGTACACCCCAGCGCTCTCCTGGGCTGAGCGCTGATGAAAACCCAGCGCTAGCACATAACCCCTGAGTGTGTGTAACAGAAAATGTCTGCTTGGGATTCATTTTGAAGGTTAAAAGCTCTATCATCCAGCTCTTGAGAATAAAAATATTTCAACTTATCTCGACAAATGTTCCCGTTGGTATCTTGCAAAACAGAATCCTAAAAAAAAAAAAAAAAAAAAAACTTCTTTTTGCAGTCCTAAAAACAGCACAGCGGGTTCTCAGGCTTTTTTTAGTTTGGGTTCGTGTTCTCTTGCAAGGCAAATGATTAAGTAGAAACAAGCTCCCAGAGTTCTGCAGATCCTGGAGTCCAGCTCTGCAATCCTGTTTCAAGCTACGCTGTAGTCTAACGTAAACTACTCTAATGCACGAGGCTAAAATGCTGCGGCCTGTTGTTCCAAATTGGGAGCCCCTCGCATTGCGGTAACTACTCATCTGCTTTAAATCCTGGAACTTTATCCCGTTTCACTGACAGTGCAGTACTTGTCCTAATGTTATTTTGTAACTGTCACTGGTTTCTACTGCAATGTGCATATTTCTCTTCCCTTACTGAACTCCTAAGAATACCTTGCACAGAATTCAGAAAATGGCCTGTTAAGCATTGGTGAAATAGTTCCTCTCCAAGGCTCTCCCTGCCATGCAGGAGACAGTCTGGGCAGTAAGCATCTGATAGAGAAAGATCTGATTCCATTATTAGATGTATCAGTTAAGCTGAGCAGGTGACTCACACCTGTATTCCTAGCTACTTGGGAGGCTGAGATCAGGAGGATCAGAGTTTGAGGCCAGTGGGGACATACAGTTAGAAAGACCTCATCTCCACAGAAACCAGAGCAAAAGTTGACTGGGGGAATGGCTCAACTCTAAAGCACCTGCTTTGCAAGTAGAAGTAAGTAGTTCAAACTCCTGTCTCCCCACCTCCAAAAAAACCAGACAAATGTGTCAGTTAAAAAAAAAAACAAAAACTGTTTTGCAGTCTGTGAGGGGACACTTGGAATTCGGGGAAGGCCCCAGAGCAGACAGGTGTTCTGCAGACAGATTTTGTAACATGAATCTGCATAGCTGATGTATTTAGGCAGGCCATAGAAAACCGTGACTTCAATTTTGCAATATGTTCAGCACTTGACTGGCAGCAAGGCTACTCTTTTCAGGGAATCAGCAAAACAATGATGAACCTAACCAATCATTTAATTATGATTTAAAATATGATCCTCTTGCATATTGAATTTTACACAATGAATAGTAAAGGAAGTAAAAGTGACTGGAAAGGTTTGTCAGTATATATTCCTAAAAAGAGAATTTGAAGTCACCTTCGTCTCTATTCTAAGTCAGAACAAAGAAGTGAATTAAAATTATTCCAAAATACCACAAATGCTATTTATTAGTCTTTAGTGACACTAAAATCTAGTTCTCAAGATCATGTTCTCTTTCAAGGGAAAATTTTGTAAATTGAGAGTAGAACAGCTAGGCTACAGGAAGTAGCATACTGCTTAGGGCATTTCAGGTTTTGAGATGAGTATTTTTTAAGCACTTCAAAACAAAGAATTGGCTGGTGGAGTGGCTTAAGTGGTAGAGTGCCTGCCTAGGAAGCATGAGGCCCTGAGTTCAAACCCTAGTGCTACCAAAAACAAAAAAGTAATTATCAAAACAAAGAATTGTATGTCCATCTTTTATCTTTGACTCCCATAGGTCTAAGCATCTTCAGGTAAACTAGAAACATTATTTTTACCTTTTTTTGTGTGTGGTGCCTGGGAGATAGAACGAAAGTGCTTGTGAAGTCCTCTACCACCTAGTTTGAAACATAACTTTAGAGTAAAAGTTTTAAATTTATTTTTGGCAATGCACCACAAACAGCAAACTCAAACAGCACATTTTCTTTAATTGTAGCATCAAAACTAATCACTTTTCAGCCTGGGGCAGTGGCTTATGCCTACAATCCTAGTTATCTGGGAGGCTGAGATCAAGAGTGTTGGTGTTGGAGGCCAGTCCAGGCAGTTAGATCAAGAGACCCCCATCTCTAAGATAACCAAGGTAAAATGAACTGGAGATGTGACTCCAGTGGTGGAGTGTCTGCTTTGCAATCCTGAAGCCCTGAGTTCAAATCCCAGTCCCCCCAAAAGGATGTACTTTTCCTTTTGACTATTCAAAATGCATGATGACAGTTGGGCTTTATCTGTCAGTCTCCTAAGCTTGTGCAGAAAACCACTTTGAAAAGCTAATAAAAATAAAACATTGACGTTAGCTCAAGGGGTGGATTAGATGTTTTATGGAGGCAAGCCTATTCACTACTGTATTCCCAGCACATACAACATTCAGGTGACACAGGTAAGAATGTCAGGTACAGTTGAGGTGCCTTTACTGGTTTATGTCTACGTACTCCATGAGCATGAGAGAACTGTAATGAATATTCAGGTAGCATTCTGACTTTGAAACACGCCCGAGGTAGACTCCAGCTTATGTTTGGAACAGGCAAATTATTCCTAACCTTTAATCTTGAGTTCAAACCCTGTTCAGTGAGTACCATGGATTCCCAGTGAATACTAGGAATCTTTCTTGTTATTTTACTTTCCACTTGTAGGCTCTGCAGAAAATGCATTCTTATTCCACATAATGTCTTCTGACTGCAGAAATGAAAACTTCCCTCATTTGCTCTTAACTGAGCCAAGACTGAAAGCAGTGTGAAGGTATTGTAAAACAACAGCCATCACCCCATCAAAGCGAGCATTCCCTCTGTGGGGTGAGATGAGGCTGAGAGAGAGAGAGAGAAAGCGAGAAAGCTCTCACCATGCACCTGAGTCAGTTGTGCTCCTCCTCCTTGAGCACCGCGGCCTTCCAACGTGGACCAAAAGATGTCAAAAACAGTTCATTAATTTTTTAAATTTTATTTTAAATAACATACATTTTCATGGTACTGATTCCAAATTGTGGGCCTACTGCTCTTTCTTCTTCTTCTCTTAGCGTTTTTACATTCACTTACATTGTATACAGTGTTTGGACCCCCTCCCTTCCCCTTTGCTGCACTGACTTCCATATCACAAAAATGCCTGCGGACCCTTGGAACAGAGCCTGCGTTATTACTCCGTCTTAGAAATACATACTGGACTAGTCCGAAGTGCTACTTTTAAGAATTCCAAGTGACTTCGGATGTCACGGTGCTCCGCGGGGCATTCCCCTCTTAACCCCAGAATGAGCGCCATTGGAACGGTCACTGTTCTAGGTCTGGAGTGGTGTGTCCTGTTCTTCGGCAGGGTAAGCCCGGGAGACAGAGGCTGAAATCCGACACTGCCCAACGACGAGGATAAGGACGATGGAGAGCCGCCCTGGCGCTGAGGCCACATAAAGGCATGGCGAGGCTGGGGGTTAAGCTCGATCATCAGCCCTCAATGTCGGGCTCTCCGAGGCAGTCCGCGGAGAAGGGCTACAGAACCTGACCGGGTACCGCTCCCCAGCGTGGCCGAGCAAAGACGACACGGAAACCCAGGAACTACAGCCCGGCGCCCGGCGCAGCTCGCTACCCGCCCGTGGGGACCCGCGCCGCACCGGGCGGGGCGGAGCTGGATCGCGGCCCGCCCAGGACAAAGGCTGGAGAGCCACCCAAGGAGAGGCCCGCCCAGGGGCGTGGCCTAGGCCGGAAGAGGGCGGGCCATCCCAGTCCGTTGTCTAGGCAACGGTTCGCTCAGCACTGGCTTTTCAGAAAGCCCTAAATCTGGGAGTCGTGGGGGAGGGGCGGGTTGATAATTCGGGGGTGCACGTCCTCGGCCTGCCACCCGCCCAGTTGTTGGCGATCTCTACAGCTGGAGAGCAAACTCCAGGGCGCTGGATGGGGAAAGGCTATGGGGTCAGAGGAGGCGTCGCTCCCGCCGGCCCGCCCTCAGCAGGGGCTCTGCCCTTAACAGAGCTTCCCCCTCGGGCCCCTTTGTCTCCACGCCGTTCCAAACTCAGCTCGAGGAGGCGACACAAAGGGACGGCAGTAGCGAACGGCGCAGGCGCCGGAGCCGCCTTGGCTTCTGGGAGTGGTGGTCCCGCCGCGCGTCTCCAAAGCCCCCTCCCTCGCGGGGCCGCGGCCCCACTTCCGCCTCTCCTGGGCCCGCCCCCTCTGCCCTCCTCCCGGAGGACCCGCTCTCTAGTACTAGGAGTACGGGAGGAGTTACCCACGACCCCCACGCCTTCTCTCTGTTCTCATTGGTCACCGAGGTAAGGGCGACAAGTGGATTGGTCCCAGAGGTTGCCAGTTCAGTTGCGGGCCGTACTTATACTGCGCTGCGAGGCGTGGCTGGGAAGAGTAATGCTGGTGATGCGAAGGTAGCAGAGGGTGTATGTTACCGTTTTCGAGGCGTTCGTGTCTTTCCCTTCCCCCCCACCCACCCCCTCCGCCCCGGTCCTTCTGAGCCCGGAAGGGTCTTCAGCGGAGCAAGCCACAACCTGCGTCTTCTGGCCGGGGTCCCGCGCTGCCCAGCAGCCTCGCCACCAAGTGCCAAACTCCTAGTAAAGTTTCGCCTCGTTTGGCACCCTTGTCCCGGCGTCCGGTTCACTGTCCCCTCCGCGACCCTCGCCCCCAGTGAAAGTGACAGACAAGGCCACGCCCCCGTGGGGGCGGCCTTGTTGCCCGCCGCCCCCCGACCCGGGACGGTGAGGGGCGTGAATGCGGCGGGGGCGGGGCCGCCGCCAGGATCGGGCGGGGGCCCCCCCGGGGGGGGGTGCGCATGCGCGGTGCGCGTGGGGCTGAATGTTTCCCAAGTGTTTGAAACTGGTATTTGGGTTTTCCACGTTGGACAAGTGCGGCGCGGCGGGCGGGCGGGCAAGCGCGCCCTTCCCGCTGCCTGTCCCGCTCCCTCCCCTCCCGATCCCGGCGGCGGGTGGGCGGCGGCGGTCGCGGCGCTCGGCCTCTCCGGGTGTGTGCGCGCTCGTACCCGCGGCCCCCCGCGCCGCCCGCCGCCTGGGAGGGGGCCTGCGCTGCCGGCGGGGCGTGCGCCAAAAGCCTCCGCCACCGCGGCCCGCGCCCGCAGGCGCCGGGGTCCCCGCGGCCCCGGAGGCGGCGCGGCGGGAGTCCGATGTAGCCGCCGGCCGGCCGGGCCGGAGCGGCGGGGGGGCGCGGAGGGCGAGCGCTTTGCATTTTGCAGTGCTGTTTTGAGGGGGGCGGGGGGTGGAGGAAGCGGAAAGCCGCGCCGAGTCGCCGGGGACCTCCGGGGTGAACCATGTTGAGTCCTGCCAACGGGGAGCAGATCCACCTGGTGAACTATGTGGAGGATTACCTAGACTCCATCGAGTCCCTGCCTTTCGACCTGCAGAGAAACGTCTCGCTGATGCGGGAGATCGACGCGAAATACCAAGGTACGGGGCGGTGATGGATGGGCGGGGGCGGCGGCGTCCATCCATCGGTCCGGGCGCCGGGGCCGGCTGGTCCTCCTGGACCCCGAGCGAGCGGCCGGCTGGCGGCGGCCTCGTCGGGGCAGGAACAAAAGGTCTGGAGCGCCTTTGATCCGCCGAGGTCCTTGTGTGCCGAGCCCGGGACACGGAGGAGGAAGGAGCGCGAGCGGCTCGCTGCAAGGCTGCGCGACCAAAGCGCTCTTTGTAGTGAAGTGATGAGGCGGGTGCTGCGGGGGAGGGGGCGCGGGGTCCGCCGCGTCCTCGGGGAGAGTCTCGGGCGGCAGCGAGAGGTGCGGGGCTCTGCCGGCGCCCCAGCTGCGGGGACGGCGGCGCGCCGGGGTTGTCGTGGACGTAGCGTCGGTCCAGAGCCTCACAGACCCCCACCCAGTCCCGAATCGAGTGTTACATAAAGTCCAGGGCAGTCCCCACTCGGGGTCGCCCGACCGTCCCTGCCCAGCCCCCCTCCGGCCCTCCCTTGGCGCTGGACACGGAGTGTGGCCGACCGCGAGGGGCGACGCCGCCAGCGTGGTTTGCGGAGGACCAGGGCGCTCTCGGTGTGCGGAGGGAAGGGAAGGGGAGCAGTGCAAGCGGGGAAGGCGCCCATCTGTGCTGCGATCGGGGGTGGGGGGCGCAGGCAGACTGCTGGCTTGGAGAGGAACGTGGCAGGTGAGGGGACCTGTGGTCCTTCCCTGCAGACCCGGCCACCCGGAGTGGCGGAGAGCGGTGGAGCTTTCGTACCCGCCGGGAATTGTTGGCTGCTGGGGAAACTTTCCTCTGAGGTCAGGCAAGGCACTGGGGGCTCCTCTTTGACCTGGACTGTCGCTCGGAGTTTACTAATGTTTACAGGACTGCGCAGCAGGGAAACGGAAGAGTTGGAGGGAGAGTGCAAGACGAGTACCGGCCCTGGGAAGCATCACAAACCCTGCAGGCAAAGCGCCCCTACGCGCTCTGCCCGAGACGTAGCTTCGCAGCTACTTTTATAGGAAGTCATTAGCATATTGCGGAACGTTCCGCCTCAGCTTGCCTATGGTTGGTCGTAACCTTTTCGTGGAATGTCCTTATCAGTCCGCTGCGCCGCTATTGGTACCCGGGCCGGATGAGGGCGGGCCTTGCTTAGTGACTGGCACGGGTCTGTGTTTCCGCTGCCTTTTTTTTTTTTCTCTTTCGAAGTGAGGCGGGGCAGGAGGAGGAGGTCGAGTTGATTTGAATGTCTTTGGGTCGCCTGGCCTCCGGCCTTGCATTGGCTTCTGGCGCTGCTGAGGCGGGTTCTGCTCTCAAGTCCTGCGCTTCGATTGGTGCCCTACCTGGCTTCCGCCCTCCGGTTCGTCGATCCCCATAGGCAGCGGCTCTAGGGGCGGGACGTGCCAGCCTTTTCTCATTGGCGGGAGTTCGGCCCCGTTGGTATCTCCACTGAGCCAGACCCCTTCCGGCTGTGGAGTTATGGCGGATGCTATGGTGCAGGTTTGAAGCTAGGGCCACTTACCCGCCCCCAGAAGCCCGCGGGAGGCCCGGGCCACATCTCTGATGTCCCGCGGGTGTGGCCGCGCGTGCCGGAAGACGTGAGTGACCGAGGCGGGGAGTCCCCACTGGTCCTGGCTCCGGAGTGGGGTGCCCGGGAAGCCAGCCCGGCCGGACGGGGGGGGTCTTGGGGCCCTTAGAGGAGCAATGGAGCCGGGCTGCGGACTCCAGGGTGTGGAGTGGGCTCCCTGGCGACCTCCACGCCCCCTGGAAAGCTGCCCTTGGTCGCTGCCGGAGACCTGTCCCGCCGCGGGCACTCCGTGCCGTGAGCCTGCGTGGCATCAGCTGCGGTTACCCCGGGGCGTCTGCGTGCGCGTGTTGCAGAGGTCGGCTCCGTCGAGAACTTAGCTGAAGTTGAGGAGCGTTTGACGGTGCGGCGTCGCTCGGTCCTGCGTGCTGCTCTCTGCGGAGCGTCCGCAGGCCAGGCCAGGCCAGGCCAGCGGCACTGGAGCGGCGCCCCGGGCCCTTCCTTGTGCCGCCCGCGATTCCGCCATGGCTGCGGTGCGCCCCTTGCTCTGCTGTGACGGGAAAGACCCCTTCGCAGCCTGGCACAGTCGTTCTCTTCTGCAAAATGCCAGTCTGGTCTTCAGAAACTCGGTTACTGGCTAAACCGAAGACACAGCCTTGCAATCCATTTCAAAATGAGTCGCACAAACTCACTTTTAACGTTAATCTGTGATGACAAGTTGGGTCGGGTGACTTGCAGAGTAGACTACACATAAGAGACAAGACGGTGGCATTCCTCCTTTCTGCAGTCTACGACAAGTGACTTCTGGGCCTGGAATGAAACCCTTATCGTTTGGGCGAGCCACTGTTGCCTGAGTTGGAGCTTAGTGTCCGGTTTATGATCACAGCTGTTTGTGGTGAGATGGACAGGGTGCTAGTGAACCGTGTAGACCGCCCGCTCACCACACCCCTCCTAGTTTGAGAACCTAGTGGAGTTGCTGTATTTTCAGAGGCTGCAAAGGGGTTTCAGGATAAATATCTGGTATTGTTTTCTGTTTGAGAAAAATCACTGGGAATTTTGCGTGTATATAAGTAGGTAAGACTATTTAGTTTTTATTTCAGTTAGATTATTTAACAACTTACATTGAGAGATTGTCTAGTTACATTTGCTAGAATACATTTTTAAATCATGCACTGTTTTCTAACCTAAGAAGGCTTAAATTTAATACTGAGGGTTTTTCAATGTTTTCAAATCTGTTGACTTCTAGTTCTAAAAATATGTTGACATAGTTTGTATGAACTACTAGATACAAGCATAAAATTACCACTTTTATTTTAAAGTAAGGCTAGGTTGCCTGGTTTATTGTGACTAAACTGTTCTTTTTGTTGTTTTTAGTTTTCGAGACAGGCTAGCCTAGATACAGAGATCCTGGTGCCTCAGCCTCCCAAATGCTGGGGGTACAGGCCATTCTCGTTCTCAGCAATGCAGAACAACATGCTAAAATGATCATGAAGGGACAGGTGAACTGAGGCCCTCACTCACTAAACCTGAAGCCTCTTAATCCCGATCATAAACTATTATCAAAATCTGTATGCAGCATCTCATAAGGTAGTCTAGATGCTGATGCATTGAAAAGAACAAGTGCCTTCAAATTATTTCAAAAACACTTGAATAAAAAGGATGGAAACGTAGGCCATAATTGTTAATATAATTTTTTAAAAAGGTTTGGGCCCAAGCACTTTACCTAAATTTGAACTCCCATCCATGCTTCTAAATTGTGCAGGGTCCCTAAAGACACTTTGCCAAATGGGAGGACAGCGTTTGTTTTTAGTTCCTGAGACATTTTGAACAGTAAAAAGTTTCTGCAGCCAGGCACAGGGCTCATACCTGTAATCCTAGCTTCTTGGTAGGCGGAGATCAGGAGGATCGAGGTTTGATGTCAGCCAGTGCAATTAGTTCATGAGACCCCATGTCAGAATAACCAGAGCAAGCTGGGTACTAGTGGCTCGTGCCTATAACCCTAGTACTCAGGAGGATCATGGTTCGAAGCCAGCCCGGGGCGAATAGTTGTTGAGACCCTATCTTGAAGATACTCAACTGAAAAAGGGCTGGTAGAGTGACGTAAATGGTAGAACGTCTGCCTAGCAAGCATGAGGTGCTGAGTTCAAAACCCAGAACCAGCAGAAAATAAATAACCAGAGCAAAAATGGACTCGAGGTGTGGTTCAAGTGGTAGAGTGCCTGCCTTCTGAGCACTGAAGCTCCGAGTTCAAACCCCAGTTCCACCCCACAAAAAAATTTGTTTAAAAGTCCTACAGATGGCAAGATTTTTCTACTGGGAAACTTTGTGGTGGTCATTTCTGTGTATTACCTTCTTACAGATTACAGAGTGAAAGGCTTATTTAATTGGCACGTTTAGAGCCTGGATGCATAATAAGTATCGTTTTCATTTGCAGAAATCCTGAAGGACCTGGATGACTATTATGAGAAGTTCAAGCGTGAGACTGACGGTGCTCAGAAGAGGCGAGTGTTACACTGCATCCAGAGAGCCCTCATTCGGAGCCAGGAGCTGGGCGATGAGAAGATCCAGATTGTGAGTCAGATGGTGGAGCTGGTGGAGAACCGGACCAGACAAGTGGACAGTCATGTGGAACTCTTTGAGGCACACCAAGAGATCGGCGACAGCACAGGGAACAGCGGCAAAGCTGGCCAAGATAAGTCCAGGAACGAGGTCGTCCTACAGGCGGACAAGCCCAACAACAAGCGCTCCCGGCGGCAGCGCAACAATGAGAACCGGGAGAACGCCTCCAACAACCACGACCACGACGACATCACCTCAGGAACGCCCAAGGAGAAGAGAGCGAAAACCTCCAAGAAGAAGAAGCGCTCCAAGGCCAAAGCAGAGCGGGAGGCCTCCCCCGCAGACCTCCCCATTGACCCCAATGAGCCCACGTACTGTCTGTGCAATCAGGTCTCCTATGGAGAGATGATAGGCTGTGACAACGACGAGTGCCCCATCGAGTGGTTCCACTTCTCCTGCGTGGGGCTCAACCATAAACCAAAGGGCAAGTGGTACTGTCCCAAGTGTCGGGGGGAGAATGAGAAAACAATGGACAAAGCCCTGGAGAAGTCCAAAAGAGAGAGAGCTTACAACAGGTAGTCTGCGGACCTTCCCTGCCGGGGAGGGGACGTTGGCCAGTGTGTTTATGACATCACGGCCTTTGCTGGTGTGAGTGTCGTCAAGGGAGTATTTTAAGGACGTTAGGAAGGAGTGCTGCTTTTATGGGGTGGCAGTGATTCTTAGCTCTGTCTTCACGGGAGCATGTGTAACAAGACTGGTCTGTGGATCAGCGGTTTAGAACCTCGAATAGAGGTTTGAATTAAACACTTACGTGAGTCTCAGACTGATTTTTTGGGGGGTGGGGAGTGACTTGGAAGCAACCTAACAAAGTGGAAAGAAAATATTTCATTTTGGTTGTTTTATTTTATAAAATAATGTTACACTTTATGAACAATTTTTTTTTAAATTACCAGGTTGCTAAAAGTTAGGATTTATAGCAGATTTGTTTCTTGCTACCACAGTGTATATCCATGTAACAGTTCAGTAACAAAGGTTTAAAGCTCGAAGATTATTTTTTAAAAAGGCATCTGGACACATTTTACACGCAGGTATTTTATACCCTGGCCTGTTCCCCAAATGGCCATTTTTAAATGATTGGCTGCATTTTTATTAGTCAAGCATAAGTGGTCTAGTCGTGGGAATCAGACCATGCCTTTGCTGTTTCAGATCACAGTGTAGTCATCTTCGCTTATATGAAGTGTATAGCTATCCACTTCCCAGAGCCCTGCCGTATTGTAATCAGAAGCGCAGTCTGACTATTGTGAACCCCAGGTGTGCTTCCTGCTGTGCTGCGTGTGTGAGAGCTGTACAGATGTGACATCAAGAAATAAATGACACTTGGCCAGTTTGCTTCTCTAGCAGTATATTTAATTTTAACATAAGGAGTTTTAAAAGTTTTGTCTTAAAATTTTACACACCAGCAGTTTAGACAAAGCCTTAAAAGCACATTGTGTGTTATTGTTCTCAATGTCAAAATGCCAGCAAATAAATGTGTCATATATATATATATATATATATGGTCTATATATATGTGCGTATACATACAGACCAGAGGTTACTGCCCACCCATCAAATCTAGCCCACCGTCCGTTTCTGTATGGCCTGTGAGCTAAGAATGGTGTTTATGTTTTACATAGTTTAAAAAGTCATATTTCGTGACACATGAAAATCATATGAAATTCAAGTTTTAGTATTTATAAATAAAGCGTCATTGGAACACAGCCATGCTTATTGTCTGTGGCTGCCTTTGTAAAACTCTGGTAGAGTTGAGTAGCTGTGACCAAGTCTGAAGCCAGGAAAGCCCTTTACAGAAAGCCTCCTGGCCACTAATGTAGGCTTGTCTGCATTGATGACCCGTGTCCTTAACCTCCCACATGTGACATCTCTGTAGTCTGGTCCACGATGTCTGTGCAGACACTGCAGAGCCAACGTCACCGTTGTCACTGTGGCAGCTGTGGCTTGTATTTATTGTACTTTGTAAAACAGCTGTTTGTTGACAGCTTACTTTTGATAAATGATTATTGTGAACTTTACTTGTGCCAGACTCAAAGTCCCTGTTTCTGGTGAATTTCCATTGCAGAGGGCTACTTCATAGAGCAGTGCAAATTGTAGCCGGAAAGTAAAATTTCAACTCTGCTGTTAATATTTGAACCTTTTACATTCAAATTCTTAGGTGCCTACTTTGCAGCAGAATTCCAGAACCCTTACAACTCAAGTGTTTAAATTTGATGACATTTACCTAGACAGATGGTGAGCAAAAAGAATTTATTAGGCGAAAATCATTCAAATGCTTGATAAAAATCCAGTGGCAATAAAGATAGTGTCTCACTTCTATCTGGAGCCAGTAATGAGAACTAAGTCATGAAAGTGGAGCACAGTTGCCGGTGCTGGATTTCTTTCATGCTTCCTTGTCCACTAAAGAGTGGGTAGACACCACCAAGACTTACGAGCCTTGCTGTGTGAACCCCATCTTCATCCCTTCGGGGTTTGCTCTTAAAAAACTTTTGGTCTATACGTCTTCACTTTTTTTTTTTTCAGAATTGGGGTTGGAACTCACCTTGAGCCACTCTACCAGCCCATTTTTGTGATAGTTTTTTTTTTTCTTTTTTTCTCTTTCCTTTTGCGGTACTGGGTTGAACTCAGGAGACACTCCACCAGCCCAGGGGTTTGCTCTTAAAAAACTTTTGGTCTATACGTCTTCACTTTTTTTTTTTTCAGAATTGGGGTTGGAACTCACCTTGAGCCACTCTACCAGCCCATTTTTGTGATAGGTTTTTTTTTTTCTTTTTTTCTCTTTCCTTTTGCGGTACTGGGGCTTGAACTCAGGGCCTTCACCTTGAGACACTCCACCAGCCCAGTTTTTTGTGATAGGGGTTTTCGAGATAGGGTCTTGCAAACTATTTACCCAGGCTGACTTCAAACCGTGATCTGCTTGATCTTTGCCTCCTGAGTAGCTAGGATTACAGGCGTAAGCCACCAGGGCCAGGCTGTGATGGGTTTTTTTTTTTTCAAGATAGGGTTTCTGGAACTATTTGCCCCAGGCTAGCTTTGAACTACAATCCTCCTGATCTCTGCCTCCAGAGTAGCTAGGATTACAGACATGAGCCACTGGTGCCCAGCACATCTTCATGTAGAGTGGCTCTGAGAAATACAGGCAGTTGTGTAATAAGGGAGTGAGGTGAGAAGTGCAAAGTCTTCCCTAGCTTTATGAAGTTTCTGATAATGTTATGTTTGATTTCGTGAGCTTGAGGGGGGGGTCAGGGGGGCTGGTCCCCATGCGGCTGGGATGGGATGCTGCCTAGTTACAGGGACTAACCTGACTGGGTCACTGGCTTAAAGTCCTTGATATGTGAGATTGTCAGTGGTGACCAATTTGAAGTAGTACAGCACTTACCAAAGTAAAGGCCATTTTCATTTTGCTATAAACTGTTTTAGAGACATTTTGAAATGGCTATAGTCACATTCACTTGTGTTCAGGTAGAGTGTATTAAAATTTTACACCTTTTTATTAAGCAAAGTGACTGACTCCGTGCTTTTTTTTTTTTTTTTTGCAGTACTGAGCAGTACTGACAGTACTGAACTCAGGGCTTGGAGCTTGCTAGGCAGACTTTCAGCCCTCTTGTTATTGGAAATAGGGTCTTGCTTCTTCCCCAGGCTGGCCTGGACCATGATCCTATTTTACGCTTTGTGCTCCAGCTAGGGTGACAGGTGCATGCCACCACACAGCCTTTTTTCTGTTGAGATGGCTTCTCACTAGTTTTTTGCTGGCTGGCTTGGGACTGCAATCCTCCCGATCTAGTAAGTAGCTGGGATTGCAGGCGTGAGTTACCAACGCCCTGCTTGTCTCTACACTTTTAAAGCCAGACCTTTCCCTTTCGCTCTGACGTAACTTGGGGCTTTTTGGAGTGGTCGCTTACCTGGAAGAAGGTTGTATGGATAATGCCTGCATCTCTGGCTTTGCTTGTGATCTGTTCCTCTTTCATCTCAGAGTCCAGGTGGCTTCAGGGAGTCTGGGAGTTGACTCGGATTTTAAAATCTGGAAACTGGCATGTACACCTGCTTTTCTGTGGCACTGGGTTTGTGCCTCACCCTCTGAACTTGGGCGGAGGCTTAGGAGGATGACAGCTAATGGAAGAGGAGAAGGAACAGTGTATAGTGCTGTGTTGCTAAGTCAAAATAGCCTCCTGAGACTCTCTATTAGGGACTTTGTTTCACAATGTTTATCTCACTTCAGTTTTTAACTTGCAACCAAACACAGTGGTGTGCTGTACCCCAACTCCCCTCAAGAGAACGACACGAAATACACAATCAGAACAGAGATGGTGTGAGTCTACATCCCTCTCCCCGCCTCACCAACCTAGTATCACCTGGTGTGTTCAGAAAGATGGGGCGGTATTTTCCCAAAGTGAGTCACAGGTTAAATACTGATTTATAACATTCCGTGCTTCGATGAAGTAGAATTTTTCTATGAAACAAGAAGGTGCTTGTTAAGCAAACCAACTTAAAGGTTCACCTTTAAGTAGAGGTGTTCAGCATTGCTGGCAGATACAATGACAGCCACCTGTTATTGTCACTGGCTCTTTTATACTTACTTCTTTGCAGTGCTGGGGATGGAACCCAGGGCCTCACATGCTAGACAAGTGCTCTACCACTGAAGTACATTCTTAAGCCTTGAACTCTTACCTACTTTATGTTAAAAAAAAAAAAAAAAACCCTTAAATTGGGGTCTTATGTTTCCCAAACTGGCCTCCAGCTTGCTAGCCAACTGCTTCAGCTCGGGAGCAGCTAGGATGACACACACGGGACCACATGTGCTTTTGTTTTGAGCATTAAATTTTATGACAGCCCTGACACCATGCTGCGGTAAATCTGTTGTTCTTATTGAGGGACCTGATTCCCACAAGGCCACAGCCCCTCCCCTCCACCCCCTCCCTACCCCAGGAGACGCCCCAGGTCAGAACTGGCACTGCTTGCTCAGTTAAGTAAACCCACAGAGTGCTGGGACCTGTGACCATGGGCCCTGCCCTTCTCCCACCGTGGGGGTCCATGACTGCAAAAATGGAGGAAGGTGGAGTGACACGAAAGTTCCACAGCAGTGGAGCTGCCTGAGGAGCCGGGACAGTTAAGAGATTGTGATCTTGTCCTGGCTGGCTGCCTTTGCCTGAATAAAAGGACCTTCAGGGGCTGTGTTGTGGCTCTGTGGGGAGCGCTTGCCCAGCAGGTGTGAGGCCCTGGGTTCCATCCCAGCACCACAGGAAAGAGATGTACAGGAGCCACGGATGCCTGCACTGTACCTGGTCCTCAGGAGCTCAGGACACCTGCAGCAGGTTCTCAACTGACCCTGTAGTGGATCTCAGGCCAGTTTCACCCAGTTTAAAGCACTTCCTGAAGCAGCGGATCTCCTGGAGGAGGCAACGAGTCCAGAGTAGAGTCTGGAGATGGGTGGAGACTGGCTCGGCTGTCCTCTGCCAGTGTCCCCATAAGCAAAGGGAGACAGGCACAGTGTGCATCCCGCAGCAAGGGACAGCTGGCTGAAGGTTCACTCAAGCAATGGTTGCAGCCATGTGTTTGGTTGCTTGCTGGTCATTCTAGTCTAACAAGTGCATTCTAGAAGATGAGCGGATCCCTTACTGCTGAAGACACTAGAGTCTGGTAGAGGCCCTGAGAGGTCACCTGCTGTCCCTGCCACAGGAGCAGGTCATTGGCTGCCACTGCTCTCCATAGCTGCTCTGTGGACCAAGCCGTCTCTCCAAACCAGAAGTCAGTAGGAAGGGAGAGTTTTCATCTCAGCAGCAACAAGAGCCCACTAAACCTCTTGCTTGAACTTGGGAGTGGGTGAGAAAACTGAGGCAGAGTGGTGAGGTCACCACTCACAGCCACTGGCCAGGAGCTGGGCTCCTACAGGACAGGCAGTGCTGGGTCTCCCCACACTGCCTTCCCTGGGCCTTGCTGTTCTGCTGGTGCACCTGGTCATGTTTATGCAGGCACTGGCTCTGTGGCTCTACACGCTAAGCCCTAGAGCACTAACAAATGCTGGTAGAGTCAGTAAGAAACCCAAGAATTGGCAGTTAAGAATGAGACATTTTCCTTCCTAACTTCTAAGCCAGTTCTAAGAACACTCTCAAAAAGGAACTTCAAATTGATCTGTGTGCCAGGCGTGGTAGCTCAATTCTGTAATCCCCACTACTCAGGAAGCAGAAATCCAGAGGATCAAGATTCGAAGCCAGCCTGAGCAAAAAGTTATGGAGACACCAACTCAACAAACAAGCCAGGCATGGGGGTTTACATCTGTAATCCCGCTACACAGGAAGTGTAGTTAAGAGGATTTTTGTCTGAGGCTGGTCCCGGGCAAAAAGTGAGACCCTATCTGAAAAGTAACTAGAACAAAAAAGGGACGGGGGCATGGCTCAAGTAGTAGAGTACTTGCTTAGTAAGCGTGAGGTCTTGAGTTCCCACCCCAAAACTGATTTGTGTGAAGAAAATATATTTTGGATAAATGGATAGGTCATCGGGAATGCAATATTTCTAAATGATTATTTGAGACAGTAATTAATTAGATTTTTTTTGTGTTGTT